GATCTGTTGGATCCAGCATCAACTCAATGGGTTCTACTCAGGATGAGTCCTGAGAAATTTTTTAAATAAAACTATATTTTTATCCCTTTTATTGCCATGCTATAAAACATTTCATCTCGAATTCATTCAGACAGCTGTTCTAAAATAAATATAAAACGATATAGATGACTCTTTTCTAGAGACTTGAAATCATTTGAGAGCATACTAATTTCTCAGACATATAAAATGCATAAGAATTTCCTCAATATTTTAGTACTAATAAGTTCTGATAATTGAACTGTTCCAATCAATAATAATAAGTTTCATTTCAACAGTATTTTCTATTAGCGTGCTTGTCACTTAGACACTATAGACAGTTTTGACACCAGTATTTTCCATAGTGTATGCACAGTTGAAAGTCTCGCAGTCAAAAATAACTTTCATTAAATTTTAAATTTTTCTTCAAATAGAAGATTATATGCTATGGATGTTGTAATCTTATTTGAACAAATAAAAACCAATAAACTTTAAAACCTTTGAAGTTTGCTATGATAAATAAATTCGAGTTTACGAACTTATGAGTTTTAATTCAATACCTTTTTTCAAATGATTTTTTTTTCTTTTTTTTGTTTGTTTTCGATAATCATCATCACAAATTAATTGACTAAGTAGTGATAAAAGTAATTGATATTCTTCAAAATTATTAAAATGTTTTTCTTTAAATATAATTGAAAGAAGATAAAAGATTTTTTGATTATTTTCATCGATAATTTTCTTTTGATTTATTTGTTCAAATAAATAATTAATAAATTTTTCATGTGATAATGTAAATAATTTAATTATTTGTTCAATTTCATAAAATACATCTGATTTTAAATGTTTATAAACTGAATGATATTCATTTTGATCAAAATTTTTCGTATTATTATTAGTTTTTGATAATGAACTTTCATTCAGTAGATTAATATTACTTCGTATTAATGTATTAAAATCAAGTGTATTTAGAATAAACCGAAATAATTTATCAGTAAATGCATCCATATCAAAAAGAAAATCAATATGACTATGAATAAATGTATAATAACCAATGAATAGTTGTAAACGCCAACGACGATCAGTTAATATTGATGATGAAGATATTTGTTGTTGTTGTTCAAGTAATTGAAATAAATCAGCTTGACATTCGATTAATAGATGATCAGATAGAATTATATTTGATGAATTAAGAACTTCATTGATAAATTCTGCTTCATATGTAAGAATAGATGATTCTGATGACAATGGTTGAGATGATATGGCAGGTAATGATTCGATCGGTACTAAAATATAAAAAGACATTCATTACCATATTTGTCTTATCATTGTATTGATAGAAGGATAAGTATTCTTTGTTTTCTATGTTCAGAGGAGCGCTGTTCATTCGGTTTGTATGTGAAATAAAACATTGATAAATGTGCGTTAAGGAGGTGCACGTTCACACTTTCGTGAATTCAGACTTGATCGAAGCTCAATCTGAGTTCTTTTCACCAATATTTGACTTCTCTTGTGTATATGGTTAAATCAACAATCAAGATCTTAATTATTTATTACCTTCTATTAGAAAATAATCAATCTAAAGTTGAGCCGTAGCCGAAATTCTATATCTGGCTAAGCAGATGTCAGCTCTTCTCGATTCAGAAACGGATCTGAAATTAAATCCGGATATCGACTTGACTGGATTCGGGACTTGGTCGAGAACAGCTCGCGCCCGAGAGGTAACAGTAGATTTCAAGACTGAAGTTCCTGCTATTTTCTCTTTGTCCACAGCTTTCTAATGTGTATAGCTAAGAAGTTTCTTCACACTCTCTGTTGCATTGCCTATATATATTTAGCAAATTCGCTTGCCATTTTCTTCCTAATATACTATCTATTCGAAAATTTCTTCATGAAGTTCAAGCCACACGGGAAACAACGTTCTCTCATACTTCCTCAACTATAAGCAGTGCGAGAATATAGTGGGAATACACACACGGAGTTCCTGAGTGCAGTTTTATGACCAAGAATAAATCTAGACCAAAAAACCAAGAAGATAACGACGTACTCTTGTACTTCCATTGTATGCTTTTAATTCAGAGAGTACAGTAGTACGCCATATCTTGCTTGAATTGAAGTCTTCTATTATTCATATAATTGATTCTATCAACTTACATTTAAATAATTTTTTCAATAAAACTTTCATTATTTCGATTTCATTTTGATTTTCATTGGTTGATGAAACAATTACAAGCATTGTTTTTAATGCAATATTTGCTGATATTTTTAACCATACTGAACAATAACATAATATTGTTAACATAAAATTTGCAAGTGCTTGACGAACATTTAAACTTTCATGATTAACATATTCATTGGTTAATCGTTGTAAAATAGGAGCTAAATGCTGATCAACAATACATAGCCATTGTTCATTTCTTTCAATAATAATATCACGAAGTTCTTCTTTCATTAAATTTATGTCGAAATTATATTTTGATGAAAGATGAACGCTTATTCGAATAATATAACTTAATAAAATAAAATTTGTATGAACAAGACGTTGATGTATTGAACCAATATCTTGTGCAAATGTTTTTAATATACCGGGTAAAAAACAAGCTAAAATTTGTCCAATAATTAATCGATATTCATTTTCATTTTTATTTTTATTAATATATATTAATGACCATAATGTATTAATAATATTAATTTTATAATCAAGTGTATTAATTTTTTCATATAATTGAAGTAAACATGAAAGATAATGACCAATAATAGGTAAATTTTGATTAAAATTTCCTAAAAAATCTTTATAGAATAAATTTATATTTGTTTTTATTGATAAACAAAATGTATGAAAAAATCGAATAAATAAATCTTGTTGAACTTCATCATTTGTTATCATTATACGTTTTGTTAATATAATACTAATTATACAAAGTAAATCATCAAGAGTTTTTTTTGTTGATATTGGTATTAATTCAAATAATAATATAAATTCTTCAAGAAGTTTATCAAATATTGATGGATTTTGAAAACGATTAAATTGTCGTAAAAGTAAGATAGCTGGAATATATAAATTATCATCTTGAATAGTTTTTTCATCTTCAAAACGACGATAATGACATTGTTTAATAAGAGAAAAACATAAATGAATATTTTCTATTGTAGGTTGTTGTAGAACATTACGAAGAGTTGTATCAAGATCAAGAATAAGTTGAGAATTTATATTTGATGACATTTTTAGTAGTATTTTTTTTTATGATTTTGTATTTGTTATTAATGATGCTTGTCGAGCTTCTTCCCGCAAACGTCGTTGTTCAAGAACTTGTTTACGTGCTTCAATCTCTTTTTCAACCAACGCTTGATCAACGTCTAAAGAAAAAACAAAGACGAAGAAATTAGTTTTTGTTTTACATAATGCACTGTTTTATGATCATTAAAACGAGTATTAAAAGAAAAATATTCTCTTCAGTTTTGTCAGAAGTTGTACTAGCAATACTGTTCAATTAAAATTAGTGATAAGAACTTTTGCCGAAAAAGACAGTCTGTGTTTCTATTATTGAGAAAAACGAAACGTAAGGCATGTGTTTGATTGACTAAAAATAAATGGATGAAATTTATTTTGGTTTTTTCGATTAGGGAGAGATCTATTTAAAGAAAATAGCTGAATTTTTATAAAATATAACTAAACTGTGAAAACTGACAAGGAAACCTCTACAGATGTCAAGTCACTTTTTGGCCGAGACGATGTTCATTTGATGGAGGCGCTAGAGAATAATAGAATGGTTTGGTTTTCCGAACCTTCGTTCTTGAGGTATCGAAATTTCACTTAGTTTTTCAATAAACAGTTTTCGGTCTTTCTTAAATCACGTGAAAAATTGAGTTTCGACTTCAAACGTTGCACGAACAAAATCCTCAATGAAATAAATTCATTGGACAATTAATAATTTTTCTAGTATTTCCTATCTTGAGATATTCAATATACGAATCTCTCTTATGTGCAAAAAAACATTTTGTGCAAAGATTTACATAATAGACAGGTTAAAAGTGGCACAATCAACCAATCTGATTAAGAACTTTGTTAGTGCATAATTTGAGGTGAAAATTTGAAAGTTGATTTTCCGTGGAATTGCAGCCTTCTGTTGAAAAGCCCAGTAAAATTTCGATATCTCAAGAACGAATGTCCGAAAAAGCAAACCATTCTATTACTCTCTAGCGCTCATCAAATGAATACCGTCTCGGTTGAAAACCGATCTAACATCTGGAAAGGTTCTCTCGTAAGCCTTTCTCGAACATAAAAATCAAACGCAAGTTTTCGATAAACCTCCTGTAGATTCAGATTCTTAGACTCCGAAAACCTTATGCCTATTTTCTTCAAATGGCCTTCCAGATTAAAAAAAAATAGAAATCGATCCAAACCATCAATGTTTTATTGTGTGTTCACTGTTTGCTTATACTTAACATGATGGAAAAAAGTTTAACAACAACGTATTGTTTATTTTTTTTTCTATAATATTAAGCTCCGACACCTGAATACTATCGTGTTCAGTTTTTTAGAAATTTTGTCATCATAGTTCATCTATGAAATTTTGGTATAGAATGCACTAGATAGAAAACTTCATCAACTATTAAAACTACTATCTGGTTTTGAGCTATGTGTTAAACATTATATCATTTGGATCCTTCATCCACATTCTCTATTTTGTTTCTTTTGCGTTGTGAAAACCGCAGATTCCTCTCTTATCCCAATAAATATCCTTCGAACTTACTCAAAATTTTATCCTCTTCGATAAACAATTCTTATACAATACAGGAAACCTTCGAGTCCCTGATATCATATCCGCTAATATTTGTCAATCATTGTACAAATCATTCCTCTCCAATAACTATTGTAGAAAAGAAAAACAATATTCCAAATCAAATCTATTATATATGACATAATCATGACTATTAATTGGAATAAGTGTCTTTCTAATGAAGAATTTTCTATTGAAAATCATGAGCTATATGAAGCTATTTAATTTCTTACCAATTTGTTCTGTTTCACCGGTATTTAAATTCCACTTTGTAATATATTTATTCCCTATGATTTGCGCAACTTGTAAACTATGTGGAATACCTGTTTCTTTTGCCGATTTATCGGCTCTATTGGCAATAAAATAACCTGCGTATCCCCAAACAATAAAAAATGCAATCGTATTAACAATACCACGAACTTTTTGTAAATCTTTAAAATTGTTTCGTTTAAAATAAGTAACCTGTTTACGCCACTCGTGTAATGAAAAACGCATTTAGTCTGAAAACAAAACTGATTATGGGATAATTGATAAGAGAAAAAAAAAGAAAACATCACACGCGCACAGAGTTTTGTATTTTATATTTGATAATAATTTTTCAATAAAAGATATTTTTAAATCATGTCGAAAAAAAAATGAAAGCATCTACATGTAGAGATCACTGTCGTTTGTCCAAAAAGAAGAAGAAACAAATAAGGAAGAAGCAGCTGCGCACACCACCGAGTTTTTTTTTGTAAGAAGAAGAACATCTGACATTTTTATGATTGCACATTTATTATTGAATTCGATTGTGTTGTTGATTCAGCATGAGTTGTTTGTTTTGTTGTTTTTGTTGTCGGCGTTGATAAAAAGAATATATTTTGAAAGAATTCATCAAGATTATCTGTTCGATTTTGATATTTTTCAATTATTTTTGTTATTCGAGTTTTTCGTAATGAATACGCAGTTTGAGAACTATTAAAACAGAAAAAAAGGAATTTTTTTTTCTTATATTTAGAAAACATAAAAAAAGAACAAACCTTTGACTATCTTCTAATCGTTTTCGACGACTTAAACTATGTACAGATTGTCGAAGAAAAAATGATAAAATATGAATAGGTAGAACCATTCCATCAATTAATGGAATACTAGCACATGCTGATTGTATGCTAAATGTAAGAGAAAAAAAAACCTTGTCTACTATTATTTGTAGATCAATTTTACATTTACCGTTGAGCAGTTGAATTAAGTGAAATTCGAAATAAATGATTTTTCAAGGGATGTATGCCAATTATAGAAATATCTCGAAGCTTTGATGATTGTTCTTGAAATAAAATTAATAATATTATAAATAACAAATATTAGAAACTGATATTTAATGTTTGAGTGGGTGAAGTTTAGAATGTGAGTTTAAATAGTTACTTTCCAGGTCGGCGTCCACATTAGAGTCCATCGGGTTCATAACTTTCGGACCCAAGTCGGGAATCAACCCGGCAGGCTCTAATGAGAGATTATCTTTCGAGATTTGATTTCCGGAATTTTAACTGTGTGAAATCATTTTCTATTCGACATTTTGTATTTCAAGATTTTACTTTTTAGAGGTTCGTATAGGTATTCTTAAAAGCGATAAGATAATGAATGTATATATCGTCTTACGAGGGAACAAGTCTAGCTGTTAACTGCTGATTGAAGTGATATTTAGCTCTTGAGTAGGACTCAGTGAGACTAGAAAAAAGCCTGATAGGGTTTCATTCTATAGAATTTCCTTATGGAATTTATGACAGTTCTATTGAATTTTTAGTTTATGGCACGGTATTCATAGAAAAATCAAATAGAAGAAATTTTCGTCCGTAAATAGGTTTCTTGCTTCTAAGTATTTCCTCAGAGTTTAATTCAAAGTAGATGATTCTCTTTTGAAATATTGTATATTCAAAAAAAGCAAACCTATGCCACAAAAAGGAAACATCATACAACGAACTTTTCTTCAGTATTCAAAATGTTAAGTAGGAATCATCTACTTTGATTGAAACTTTCAGAAAATACTCAGAATCCAGAAACCTATTTATAGACAAAAATTCCTTCTCTTTGATTTTTCTATGAATATCTAGCTATAAGCTGAAAATCCAATAGAACTGTCATGACTCCATAAGAAAGTTCTGTGGAGAGATACTCTCTTTCAGGCTTTTTCTAGTCTCACTGAGTCCTACTCAAGAACACAATATCATTTCGATCGGCAATTAACAGTTGGCTTTCTTCTCTCATTATTATGTTTGATACGCAAACTGCTGTAAGTAAAGGACTTACTAGTGTCTTTCCATTGGAAAAAGATCAATACGAAATTATAAATATTTGCTTAAGCTATAGACTTCAACATTCAAAAACAAAAGTATACAACAAACCTGGTAAAACTGAATCTAGGTCATCATGAAAGTCTTCCAGCCAAACAATTAATATTCGCATTTCAGAACTTTGATTATCCACTATAAATTTGAATAAAATAAATAAGACCAATGAACAAAAAAATCTATTTACTAGAAAAATGATGTGGTAAATAAAAGGCCATTTCTGTTGTTAAATCCGCCCAATATAAAATACTGTCATGACCATTAATATCAGCAAATGTTTTCGTCTTTGAATATGTATCTAATTAAAAAGAAAGATTATTTCGTAATATTTCATTGCTTTTTTTTTTTATTAATTACTTGATTGAGTCAGAGAAACTGTTTTCCAACTTGTTTCTACATTTCCTGTCCAACCACAATGATGCTTAACTTCAACAACAGAACCAAATTGTGAAACCATTTTTAAGAAAGCTGGATTTAATTGTTCTAGTGTTTTCTAAAAACCAAAAAACAGATTTTATTGAATATTAATTCGAATCGATTTATTTTAATACCAAATTTGAAAATGATTCTAAAAGTGTATTTTGATTTTTTTTTAAATAATAAATTTGTCCTGTACAATAAAGTGTTGGCGATATTTTATCAAGGTTTTTTATATCATCCATAAAATTTTCTGCATTGGAATCAAGTAATTGAATTTGTGATTGAAAACGATTAAATGATTTAGAGTCATTCTAAAAATTAAATAAATAATTTTCTTTTTAAATAATAAAGAGCGTTCATTAAATTTTGACTTGCAGCACGAAAGTATAATTTTCTTCACATGGTTCATCAATGGAAAAGACTGATCTTAACAATATATGTAGTTGACATCTTGACATGTCATTTACCAGAATGCGAAGTTTGTCTGACTGTTATTGTTATAGTTAATTAATTTTTTATGAAAATTGTACTAGAGATGTGCAGCTGGTAAAACTACGATCGCAAGTAGCGATTCGACACTGCTCAACTTAATAGAAACGGAATCATAAGTCCAATACTAATTTGAAATGAGTTGATCTCCAACACAGCTTTTCACTGAATTCATCGTTCAATTTCAAAGTCTTTGCTCTTTAAAACTGAAATACAGGCTTGAAGAACAAAAATGTTTCTTGACGGCTGACAGATTGCCGATAAAATCTATGTTGAAGATGCAAAAAGCAGCGACTTTGAAAATGATCGGTGAGTTTAGTGGAAAAACATATTGGAAATCAACACATTTCAGAATAGTACAGAATTCGAAAATTCATTCTTATCCAGTTGAATAGTCTCGAGTCGCTACTAGCGATCATAGTTTTCTGAGATGAGTCTCTAGTAAACACTTCGCGAAAAATTATTTAATTTCAAACGAACTTTCACAAATGTGAAAACTTTTGAACAGTACTGTAATTGAAAATTATCGATAAGTGCTTGTATCCTTGTAACAATGACAATTGAAAGAGGTTCGAGTTGTGGCATATGACATGTGTAAATGAACTTGCCTAGAGCTAATTTGTATATGTTACATGTATGTTATATTACTCTAAATATCCCAAAAAAATCAGCGCTAGAGACCTTTGTTTAGAGGAGGTATTATTAAAAAGTTAGAGTTAGCAATGTGACATAAAAAAGGACATCTACTTTCACTTCATGCATTTTAGTTTAAAAACACTCCTGATGTTACAAAATTTCTATTCAAGGCTTTTTCTGAGCATCTCTAAATTTTTCAAAAAAAAATCGATTTACTTTTCGTTAGCAACATGATGGAGTACGTAAACATGTACTAATAACCGTATGCGAACTTTAAAACCAATTACCAAACAGTACAAACCTTTCTTCAAAGTCTATAGATGATAGTATGTCAATAAATCTTTTGTTGTAGAACTTAATACGATCTTTATAAAGTCATTTTTACGAGGGTTTTTAGAGTCCGATCTTGATGAAAACTTTAGTCAATATGCAGTTTCTGACATAGATTCTATCCTGAATTTTTCGGACTTCTCTTTCCTATAGTTCAAGATATATTTGCTAATTACTTTTTAATTAATTAGTTAATTAATTAACTAATTAATGTTAATTTACAGTCATCTGAAACAGTCCAACAGCTTTACATATGTCTAAACGAATTTATACCGAAAAATATTCCTTGTAAAGAATCGAAGTCAAATGAAAGATAGGTACGTTTCGTTTTGCCTGAAGTCGGTCGTATGTTGTTATGACCAAGTTCTTTCCATTGATGAAACCATGTAAAAAAAAAACTAATACTTTTGCATATGGATTAGAACTTTAGTGAACACTACATATTTATTGGATTTACCCATTGTTTTGCATTCATAAGGAAATCCATCGAATCTAATGAACAAAATCCATAATGGGATAAAAATAAACGAATGCTTTCAAAATGTTTTTGACGTCTAATGAATAAGAAAAATAAAATTTTGATAAAACAATATGCATTAGAGAAAAAAAATACTCAGGTGGTTTGCATTCTGAGAATAATTTTTCATCCGAAATATGAGCACGTTGAATAGCTTGTTCTTCAATAGGAATTTGCTTTACTTTTAATGCACGAAATAAATTTAATTTTTCTTCATCACGCTTAATAATTGAACTTAATGTTGGAATACTTAATTCACTAAAACAAGAAAATAAAATAAAAATTATTTTTTTTTTTGAAAATTGTTTCTTTTTTTTTCACAATAATATCAACACAAATGTTTAATTATTATTTTTTGTGAAAAAGAAAAAAAAATAACCATCACCAAACAATAGAAAAAGCTGAATTGAATATTATAATTATGTTATACTTACGATGGATGATGAAAACTGAAAGGAAAAACTTTTTTTCGTTTATCAGATCATAGTAATGGATTTAGCTTAGTGTTATTACCAACCTGCTATGACGAGCAGTATCACTGAAATGTTTTTCTCATAGATACGGGAAACTTATTTATAAATTTACCTTTTTGTTCGTTCATTTTTTGTTCCATGTGTTGTAAGAAGTTTATCTTTTTGATCATTATTGACGTGGGTGATTCTTGGTGAAGGAGCTTTTTCATTTTCATTCATTATTCGTTCATTTGACTAGAATAATAAAAAGGAATTTGTTCTTTCTTTGTTGTTGGAAAAAAATAGACATTAGATACTTTATGTATTTGTATTGGTGGATTTAATATAGGATCATGACGAAAATTTAATGTCCAAACATTTTTACCGAATAATCCACGACATAAAAGGATTATTGCTGGCATTCCTAGATAAGAAAAAGTGATATAGATCAATCTTCTGATATTTTTGTTTTGTTCGAAATGAATTATTGCCGCAGTTAATGCTAATGATATTATCCGGAATGAGAAATTAGACACGTTTTTTTAAGATTTCTTATCTTCAAGAAAATATATCCTAGTTTCGAACGATATTTGCCTTCATATTATAACTATGAGTAGTAGATCCCGATAAGTGTAAGAAAAGTTTAAAAGGATTCAATCCCATCTCCCATTGATAAAGAGTTATGCCCGCTTTGGTAGAAATTTTTACAGCGAGTAAGACATTTTCGATAATTTAAAATAAAGAGTGCTGACTCCATATTTCGTGTAGAAACAGGTTTAAATGTCATTAGAGAATTTCGAAAGTTTCAATGAAAACGAGTCTGCGTTTGTTGAAATATTCAATTCCGAAGTAGACTCGACTACTGAATCTTCCTATGGTAAACCGCTATGTTTTTTTTTAGAAAACGATATCTCAACAAAGACAGGTCCGTTCTTGCTGGACCTGTCAAGACTATCCAATAATTATTACTTCTGCTCATAGACCAGACAGCAGGTCAAAAGTCTTTGTTTGAGAGTTTTCGGGAATCGTCTTGCTTTCACAAGGGAAGCAGTCGAACTGATTAATTGCTGTTGAACCGAGACTATGTGTTCAGCTAGATCCTAATGATCTATAAATAGTTTGAAAAGAGTTCGAGCCCTTAGCTTATTACTGCCGAGATACTGCAGTGTTATAATATTTTTTTAGTTAACATCGCGGTACTATAGAGACTGATCTCACCACATATAGTTTATTATAAAAGTTTCAGATCTTTTCATTTTTACTGTCCTAAGATACAGTTAAAATAAGAGCTTGTCTTTTACACTGCTCATATACACCGGTAGATTTAATGTTCTTATTTCAGAAGGAAATTAAATCAAAAGACTGGAAACTTTCACAATAAACTACTCTGGTTAAGGCCTGTCTCTATGAAAAGTTTCAGATAAAAATTCGAAAATACAAGTTTTCCGAAAACATGTGGTCTCTCAAAAAAAGTTCGATAGTTTAGTCAAATATCAATCGAGACCAAAATCCTTTTAGAGTTTTTTTTATTAGAACACTATTTCGTATCTATAGGCAAAAGAATCATTGAAATCGAAAGAGAACAGCTGAAGAGATTCCTTTGTTAATCTTATCAAACCTCATTAAAGTTTCTCGATCTGTTCGATTATTATTTCTTTCCTCAATGGACGTAGAAAATTTGTCTAATTTTATTTTTAAAAAAATCCAAATAAAACAAACCATTATTAACATTGTGTGGTAATTCCTTCATAGCAAATAAAGTATTTCCATTAATTGCAAAATATTTAAATGATGACGAAGTCATTAAATTTTCAAATGTTGATTCATCTAACCAATTTCGACATATATCATTTTTTAAATGTAATACCGCCTAAATAAATCAAGCATGAATGATCTCAATCATTATAGATAATATACATATAGAGAAGAAGTTTAATCAAAAGATGGCTCTTTTTTTGTCGTGTTCTCAATTTTAAAAAATCAAACGTGAAATAAAAGCAGCATTATTTTTGTAAACCTTATCATTTGAAGCATCACCAACAATTTCCGTATGTACATATTGCTTGGAAAAATATTTCTTATTCGATCTATATTCTATTGAAAATCCTTTTTTTCTAAGGACTTACAGATTCTTATTTATGTATTTAGATTTAAAAAAAGAAACTTACTTTGTGCTCAAAAAGAACGAACATTAAATATTGTGCAGCTTCAGCAACACGTTGTGATGCTGGATGAAATTCTTTGTCTTTTTTAAAAACAAGTCCATCAAATGACTTAAATAAATATATAGAATTAAATTTAGAAAAATAGGTTTTTTTTATATTGTACCTGTGCTTTTTCACCTGATATACCTAATTCAATAATTTCACATAATTTAAATAAATTCTCATAATCATCAAGTAATATTGGTCGTTCAATAATTAAGGTTATTAGTGTATTATATGTAGCAACACATGTTGAATGCATTTCACGTGTATGATCTTTAGGACTTCGATGTAATTGAATATCAATAAAAGTACATAAACGTTTAAGAACATTTTTCCATATATCAATAGCTAAAAGAGAAAAATAATTATTTAAGCTTCATTGAAATTTTAAAAAAAGATCAAGAGAAACATACGTAATTGACATATAGGATCAGTTACAATTGAGATCAAAGTATCGAGTGCAGCTAAGAATAATTGAGAATCATTTGTACCTTTATCACAAATTAAAATGACTGCATGACTCAGATACTCAGCAGCTGGATCTATAATATAGAAAAATTAAATTCATAGAAATTATTCAAATATGACTTGAACATGAATACGAATTGTAATCGAGAGATATTCAATGTTTTATCCGAATTTGCTCGTGTAGACGGTAAACATAAGTGTAGAACAGTTGTATTTTTGAGGTTTTCATTTCATTGATAGTAGAGAGCAAGAATTCGAATAAAACATTTGTGTGATTGAAAAGATTTTCCATTAGGATTAGTATGCTCGAAGATTTCAACAAAACAGCTTGGATGAGGATCTGCGAAAAACCAAAACCCACAAAACCAGCTTTCGGACTTAGGTTCGAAGCTTTTGAGAAAAAATTCTATTTGATAGAGCAAATGAAATGTCTGTGATCTTTTCGTAACCTTCCTTCAATTTATAGAAGGCTCAAGACACATTCTTCTCTTGTTTTTATTGAGAATGTCAATATTTTTGCCATGTTTAACTCTTTGAGACCCTCTATGAATTGAAGGAAGGTCTAGGTGATGTCTTATTTACTCTATCGAATAGAATCTTTTCTTAAAAGCTTCGAATGGAAGCTCGAAAGCTGGTTTTGTGGGTTTTGCTTTTTGGCAGACCCTCATCCAAGCAGTTTCGTTGAAATCTTTGAGCGTACCAATCCTTATAGAGAATACTTTCAGCTACACCAATGTTTTTTTGCAGACTCTTGATAGATAACACTATTGAGAAGAAAAATTAAAAATACAGCTGCTGTAAACTTCTATCCGTCAGTATCGTATTTGATATACTAACTACAAACTTCGAGATGGCCCATCCGATCTTCAAAAAAAAACGTCGACTTCTTGAGCCTAGAGTTCTGCGGGGCAAAAATTTTCGAATTTCGGACCCCCATTTATTTTCAAAATGTTCCACCAGACTCTACTTTTAAGTAAATTTGTTTATTTCTAGAATGAAATCTTCTATCATATATTACCTTGCCTAATAACAGCATAGGTTTGTTCTTGCTGTCGTTCATAGTGAGCAGCTAATGAACATGCTAATCGAATAACACCTAGTAAAATTCGAAAATAAATTTTTCAAATATGTATTTTTTTTGTGTTATTCTTTAAAATTTCCTACCAAAAAGAGATTGTGCATTAACAATATCTTGTTCTGTTTGTAAAGCACCTAATAATAATGGAAATATTCTTAAACGAAATTCTAAAAATGTTTTTTTTGTTGTTGTTTGTACATCATGTGATTTTTCCAAATAATCTTCAAATAAATGTTGTTCAAGATGTTCATAATGAAATGGTAAACTAACAATTGACATAAGTATTTGAATAGATTTTAAACGAATACGAATAAAACGATCACGAATTACTCCAGTATTATTTACTCCTTTTGTCATACTAATATTACTATTCATATAAGATTGAAGATCAATTTGAAGATAGTAATCAATAGCATCCAAATAAAGTGGAATAAGTATATTAATACCACGTAAATTAATTCGAAATAAATCTCCACTATTTAATAATATCGATTCAATAATTGTTTGAGAACGTTGCTAAATTAGAAAAACAAAAAAAAAAACAAGACGTTCAGAATAGTTTTTATAAATATTATACATTTATTATTCAATGAAATGAAATATATAAATTTTTATGTTTATAATATGTTCCCAGTCAAGATAAACTATTATGAACAATTATCATTATTTTTAGAAGTCATTGCCTTTCGCATTTCTTAAAATATTGATATTTTTCGTATTTAAGCCTTTTATTCTTGGTCAAAGTTTGTTGTATTTCCATTGAGATATAGCATATACGATTCTATTTTGATTACGCTAAAAGCAAGCAACAGTAACTACTCATCCCTGGCTAGAATCGATTCCAATACGATTTCATATGAATTGATTTGAGAAAAGATTAGAGAAACAGCTAAAATCTTGCTCAATCAGTTGATAAGAAAAGTCCTCGAGCTAATAAATCGTTTTTGAATTGAGACTGTACTAAATAGATTAATGAGCTATGAATTTGTTCTTGGCTTATTGCTGCAGAAATACTACATCTTTTACGAAATTTTTTAAATAAATGTTGTAGTCCAGAAAAACTGATTTTCGAATTTCGGCTCAAAATTTTGCAAAGAAACAAACCTTAAAAAGTGTAATTTCACATCTAATCGAAATTTATTTTTGTTCTGGACTACAGCTTTCATTTTAGAGAATATTGTAAAAGTGCAGTATCTCTGAAGCTGATCTTTGAAAAACTCAAAAAATCAGTTTGAATGGAAAATTGTCTTATTTTCGCTATTGCTATTCGAAACTAAAAGTTGAAATGTTTATGTATATATCAGTGTTTAGATCAGAAGCTACCATACAAAATGCATTACTTTAAGTTGTTTTTTTCTTGTGTCTTTCGATAAGGCATCTCAATTTTCATTTTTTCTAAATACTCATCTTTTGAAAAATCTACAACCGATTTACGTTGAAAGAAATTCTGGTAAACACTACAGCTTAGTTCAATGCTATATTCAGTAGAGAAATGCGTCCAAAGTGAACAAACATATTGTCTAAAAATTTTCCAATGATCGATTAATAACAAGAAAAGAAACATGGATTTCGTCTTTCGAAAATTTTCTTTTTCTTTAGAAAAAAATTAAACATCATATCATTTAAATAAAAATTATATTTTACTTCATCTCCTTGATAAAATCGAAGACCTTGTTGTAAAACATAATAAAATCTACTTAAATATTCTGGATGAATAACTTCATCACATTGTGCACTAGTAAATATTGTACATATTGTTGCAAATGATTTAGCAACAGCTTCATCCATAAAACGTTCACTCTATATGATAGAAAAATTTTTGTTTTTTTCTAAAAATTACATTGAATTTTCTTTTTATTTTACCTGAGCATCTATCGTCTTCTCCGTTTCATTTGCTCGAGAAGCTACAACAAAAAAATAATAATAATCTCTTTTTTTTTTTCTATCAATAAAAATTTATCGTACTTAAACTTTTTAAAAGGCTATGTCGTACAGCCATGAATAACTTTTTAAACCTTCAATTACGCACTACAACGTGTATCTCCTGATTGCTCAATGAACCGTATCAAAATGAAAGAAAAAGAAAAAAAAATGCGAAACGTTTTCGATGTTTTTTTTTTTTTGTTTGTTTGAAAAGAAATTTTTCTTCGTCGTTCTTCATTTCTCATGAGATCAAGAGAATAAGGTCAATCATTCTTGTTATTTTATTTACATACGACTTAATCTACTTACAATCATTTATTGATGAACGTGAATAACGATCTTTTATTTGTAATAAACAACAATCTAATATCCATGAACCATATAAATGTATAAGACTATTTACAGTTGGATGATTAAGTCGAGAAGTTTTTGATACGATTTTATCTGATAGATTGGGTGAAATGGTTAATGGATTTATTGTTGATAAACTTTGACTAGAAGGTAAATTGACTAGAAAGAGAGAAAAGAACAAGATAGTTTCATTTCTTTTTCCTTTTTTTTATTGATTTTAGTTTATACTTTTTCGATTATCAATTTGTGATTTACTAGATTTTAATGTTGCAGGTATTGATGGTTGTTGACTATTTGATGGAGTACCACGAAGTGGCTGAACACTAGGACGTGATGATTGTTGATTATTTTGTGTTGATGAGATATTATCATTAGTTGTTACTATTGAAGTATTTGAAGGTTTTGGACTATATAAACAAGATGGATCAATATCTTTTCCTACAAAAAGAAAATCTTTTTTTTTTTACACTAAATCAATAATTTTTTATCTTACCTAACCATATATCAATAAACATTCCAATTGCTTTAGTTACATTAACAAATATTCGTGGTAATTCGTGTAATGATGTAAAATCTTTTAATTTTAAATTTGTATTAGATTGCAATTGACTAGAATATTGTGGCATACGAAGAAAAACCTTAAAATATTATCGAATTAATATTTTGTTTATATGTATTTGAATTTTTTTAAATTACTGATATATCACCACATTCTGATGGATTTTGTAGAATAGTTAAAAATTGTATCCATGTTATAACAAGTTTGTCTAATGGTAAAGAATCAATTATTTTTTGTGTATATTCACTTTGATCAGTTTCTGTACCTACAGAAAAAAAAATTGAATAAGATTTTAAAGAAAAAAAAACGAATTAAAATAATTAATTATTTACAAATATATTGCAATGGTATTAAATCTGGCCACCATAATTTATGTACAACTGTTGATGTAAGAACACAAGTAAGTTGAGCCCAATCTATATAGAAATGAAATATAAATAAATTCAAATTATATTTTATCTCACCATATATAACTGCCGGACGGTGACGCCATGTTTGAGCATAATCTCGAAATGTTCGCCATAATCCTGGCGGAATATGTATTTTATCAATTGCTGCCATAAAAACTTGATAAATTGAAGGTACAAGACGGTGGCTCATAACAGCACTACATTCTTCATTTGCTATTAAATTGAACATATATATATGTATAAGCTGCTGAAAATTTGAAATTTGAGCAAAACTCTTTTTTCTTATGGTTGAATAGGCTCGTCAAGTTACCTCAAAAAATGTTATTTTTCAGATATTCAAACGATATTTTTTTAGGTTTAAAAATTTAAATGCGACCAATGCACCAAGTCTCAATATTTATCGAAATTCGTTTTTTCTAAAATTTTACTTCAATAGGTAAAACTATTTATCATCGAATTTTGACCAAAGTGGAAACACAGATAGAGACTATCGAGTTCTAATCACAGATCAGAGTATTCAAAAATAATATTGACTGAATGTAAGAATCGAAATTTATTTTAAGTTTTCAATATACTAGTCGATGCAGATTTTTGTATTGATTTTGAATATAACATTCATTTTATTTAAAACGAAAGTTTTGATAGTCAAAATCTTAGAATACAAACTTTAAACGTAATTTTCTTAACGAGTGAACTACTCGAACTGACATACTTAAAGTTTGAGCTCACAGTGGGTTTACAAGGAAATCTTAGTAAGACTAGAAAAGTTCTAAAAGGTTTCGTGTATCCATGCGCTTCTCGAACTAAGTTATGATGGTTTCAGTCTATTTAAAAATTCAATATCTGGGCAAAGAAACATTCTTCTTGGCTGAAACTTTCAGAATATTTTACAAATCTTTCGAATCGTTTATGGGCGAAGCTTTAGATCAAAATACCCTTATTTGATTTTTAGGTAAATATCTAAAGTTGGATTCAAACACTCAGTAAAACAGCCGTAATTCAGTTTTAGAGATCCATGAACATAAATCCTTTTCGAATTTTTCTAGTCTCACTAAAGCGTTCGGATATTTCCCTCATAAATTTCATCACAAAAATATCGCTTGACTATGTCAAAAACAAAATGTTGATGGTTAACTCGATGAGTTCTATTCAAATAGGACAAAATATAATTTTGCTTAAATTTCTAATTGGCGTCAATTTATATATAGTAATACAATCATACTTCGATACGGTGGAGATAGTACTGTATCACCAATAGCTAAAAATACTTGAAGTAAAATATGCCATAAATCAAAATTTAATTCTGTTTGACTAATCATTATTTGTAACTGACGTAGAACTTTATGGGTATACATTCTTTTTGTTAATAAATCTGCTGTTTTTTCTAATTGATAGACAAACAAAAAAAAAATGATTTATTATTATTATATTCAATAGATTTCTTTTCTTTTTTACCATCATGTATCACAAATAAATGATAAAGATGCCAAAACATTTGCGACCAATAAAATTCAATTTTTTCACGTAAAATAGGTGGTATTGAATTTGAATTTGCTGATGTTATTTCAAATACTTTAAGCCATTCAACATAAACATTTGCACATAATTGATATATTGAACTTTCTTCACATGTAAAACCAAATGCAAATATTTCAAGTGTCCATTTAAAATCTTTATCGGTTGTTACTGAAAATGGTCGATTACTTATTATTAATTCGTATATATGTGTTAAATAAGGCATAGCAATTTTCTCAGCAACTGTTGATGGTATACTAGTCGATAAAGGTGAATTACATATTGTATGTCGCTGAATTTCGCTATCATATGATGAATATCCATTATACATGAACATCTAGAAAAACAATTTATTTATTTATTTATTTATTAAAATTTTCAAAATGTTTGAACAAATGAATATTTAATAAGTATAAAAATTTCAGTACTAGTACGAATAATAAAACGTTGATGTTTATCTATCATTGGAATAATATTTCGTATTTCATTACAATCAAATATACGAACAGAATTAAGACCATTAATATTTAAATCAAAACAACTACCAGAATATGTTCCTCGAATAAGCCAACCATCATTTCCATTGGAACAAATCCATTGTCGTTCAATATGATCATCTATAATTATTTTATATAAATAACCGTTTGAAAGACATAATGTTGAATAAACTAATATATAATTTTTTTCATCATTTGTAATAACTAATAAAGCTAAATAATCATTTGCTTTATTATCAAGTGCTATTCGTCGTGAATGATAACCATCAGCAATCGGATATTGATCGGATCGAAGATTTATCAAAGAATTTTTATCATATTTATGTAATGTTGATTCTTTTACTAAATAGAATATACAACGATGATTATCTATTGCACCACATATATAATCAATGTCGGTATCGATAATATCATGTTTTGTTGTTCGATAGTCAAATAAATAAATTTGTTTATCAGCAATAACTATGCATTTCAATAACCAATCAACATAACATAAATCACGAATACATGAATTTTTATCCAATTGTGTAATAGCAATATGTTTTGGATGCATAAGTGTAACTATGACTAATTCATTTGAATGTTGAGAATAAATAAGAGTATTATTTTCACAAATAGTCATAGCAATATCATTAGATGATGATGATAAATGTGCTAATGTTTCAAATGTAAAATCTCGACCAAAATCAATTGAATTCAATGAAATATTTCTATTAGTAGGCGATGAAGTAATAGATGATGATGATTTTAGTTTATCAATAGAAATTTCAATATTTTGTTTTGTTTTTTGTAAATGATAATGATCATCTAATAAATTAATTGTTTTCGATGAAGATAAATCTGATCTTGAACAAATCAATTGATCTTTTTTTATTGTTGGCATTGTTCTAATGGAAGTGATGATTGAAGATTTATGATGTGAAGTTTCAAACGATTGTTGTAGTTGATGTGGACATTTAACATATTGTCGTTTACCTAAAATAATCAAATAAATATTTAAAAATTATCATAAAACAATATATACTTTGATATTCATCAAATGCATTTAAAATCAATTGACCAGCAGTTCGAACATGTTGATCAAGTTGTTCTAAATGTTGTAAACGCCATTGATCAATAAATTTCAAAGCACTGGTGCGTAGAATAATAGCTTGTGATCGATTTGAACAATGATAAATACGATGAATATATTCATGAATATTTTCATCAAAATTATCTTTCGTTTTATCATTATTATCAAAACGATCCGATGTTTCCATGGTATATGTTGACAAATGAATAATTGGTTTATTTCGAATAATATTCATTTTATCCATTAGAATATTTTAATAAAATAATGAATAAAACGAAGAAGATTTAAATAATTTATTTACGTGAGTGAATGTTTGTTGTCAAAAAAAAATTTAAGGAAGAATTATTACCTCGAATAATTTGAGTGTATAATATACTTCATATCAAATGATAAATATGCATACTTACTCTCTCTTTCTTGTTCTATATGTGAAAAAAAGGGAAGCTAATTTATCGAACACGTACACTGACTTACATATTTTTTTCTTCGCAAAATTATTAACAATAGTACAATGAATTAACGATATACATTCGAACATATTACGAAAGAAAAACAAAAGAATGTAAATGTTCTTAGCCAGAAAGATAGAATTCAATAATAAAAAATGAAACAAGAAACAAAAAGTTGGTAGAGAAAGAAAAGAAAAATGTTTCAAGCTATTTTTCTTTTTCAATATATCAATAAAAAGCGAAATAGAAAAAGATAATATTCTTAAAACGAAAGACGTCAAAAAAAAATATAGAAGTTAACATAATCAAGATTTTCTTTACTCTTGATTATTTATGTCCACTCGTTGATTCATTCATTGCTTCATCACATAATTTACATACACGTACAGGTGTTAACCAATCTCGTTCTGGTACAGGACGTTTCGTTGGTGAACATTGTTCACAAACAGCATCGCCACAATTTCGACTACAAAGAAAAACAAACAACAAATCAACAAAATTATATTGATTAATAATTCCACAGACCAATGATGTAATCGATTTGTTGTACTATTAAATGCACGTTTACAAATACAACAAGCACGACATTCATGATCCGGTCGCCAATAATTCGGTCGAGTACTTTCTTTAATAAGTTCTATAAAAACAAAAAACAATCATTTTTTTGCTTTAAGAATAATTTTCAAATACTAACCAATCGGATAATTCACGCCGATTTTTTCAAGTCCACTTTTAAATGTTTCATAAGCACGTCTAGTTGCAGGAATATCAACTGATACTGGACCTTTGTACAGAGCAAAAAGCAAATTCGAAAATAAATAGAAAAAGAAAAAATGAATATCTTTTTTTTAAAGGATAGAACGGCATGCGTATAGGAACGTTAAAGTAAAATGAAAAACAAGACAAATTCGAATAATATAAATCAGCAAATGTAGGACAAAACGCACCCTTGCTTTTTTTTTGCATACCTGCTCCTGGGTGCTCGATATCGAAAATATCAGATGGAGATAAACACAGATCGCTGAGATGCTCACCGGATGAAGCTGTGCTTGCAGAATCTCCGCTACTACCAGCATCATAACCATTTTGTTTTGATTTTTGATTATCTGATTTATCTTTTTCTGATAATGATGAAGATGAACTTTGCATTGCTGAAGGTGGACGTGATTGTGGATTAGCATAACATTTATCACATACACGAACAGGTTTTTCTGTATCAATCCATGGAACAATACGACGACTTGTTGTACATGTATCACAGAACACATGACCACATGCTAAACATATACAAAATCGAAACAGTTTTAAAAAGTTAAACTAATATTGATAATCAATCTTTATGATAGAGTAAAGCTTTTCTAACGTAGGAATTATCAACATTAGCTAAATAAACTCATTATATTTCGACTAGACAAGATGATATTTTTGTTCGCTTCAACTTCTTTTTAATCTGAGTGTTTATATGGTTTGATGCTACTGGTGTATGCGCCAGATTTAAGAAGGAATGAGCGTAAGCTAAATAATGATAACAACTATTGACCTATGCTTTTTCAGTAATTGTAAAGAGAAAACTCCGGTCACCTTGTTATACAATATTATGTGAGACAGAATAACTTTACAACCTATCCTTTTTGCAAAACAAAAAAGAACAATGTATGAAAATGGTGTTAGATTTCGATGTAATTGTAATTCAAGGCACAACTCAGGTAATTATCTTCTCATATTTTAGTAGTAATCAAACAAAATGGTGTATCTATTCGATCAAATTAGATAAAACAGATGTCCGGAGTTCTCCGCTTTCAATTACTGAAATTGCAGATCGCTAGCGCTTTCTATTTTCGAGTTATTCAGCTCACCCTCATCACTCTTTAATCCTAATACAAACATTACAATACGTGAATGATAGAACGTATGTTACTCACATTACAGAGGTTGTTATTGTTCATAAAACCAGAAAAAAGCGTCGATTGTTCAGAATAGAAAGAGGCTCATTCCTAACGAAACTTGCTTGGGTTGGACTACAGACTGTCCAATATAAAGAGATGCTCATATAGAAAGATTTTACAGCATATTTGAGTTGACATAATTTCTTGCAATAATGAAACAAATTTCTAGAACAAACCTCGGCAATGATGTTTCGAATGCTCTGATCCAAAATGAAGTTTACACGATGAACATTCCTGTAAAATAAATAAAATAAATTAATGTTCTTATATATCATAGAAAGTCTTCTTACATGAACATCTTTATTAGGAATCCAATATGATGGTGCTACTTGATCTGCGACCATCTCCGTCAACATTTTCGTTGGAGCTGATAGATAACTATAACAAAACAACGAATTAAATGTTTCGTTTACAATAATAATTCAATCGAACCTTCCAGCATAGACAACCATTTCCATAAATTTTCTTGGTGTAACATCACTAGCAACTCGACTATTGTCTTCACCTGGCCAAACATGAACAACTTCAACACGTGTTACATCTTTTGGTTCATTATTTCCATACCAATATTTTCTTGATCGATAGATTTCACCATGATGAGGACATTCAATAACAAAACCAGACCAAACATATTTTAGAAGTCCTTGTACAAGACCATCACTTTTTGTTATTAGTTTTCCATATACAACCATATCACGTCCTTCACGATGACATTTTAAACATTTCCAAACTTCATTATCTAATTCTTTATTATATGAACATCGTTTATCACATTGATGTGGAATATTGTCTTTCTGATGATTTGCAGCTAATGTACATTTAATTCTAATCAATTGATTAAAAAAACAATAAGAAAAACAAAAGAAGAAAATTTTTTTTGAAAATTCTTACCCACAAGATTCACATTTAATATAACATGCAAAAAAGTCATCGGGTAATGTTGAAGGCATTTCAGGAGGTATAGAATGATTAAATTTTTCATTTAAAGCCTTAAAAAAAAGTTAAAAGATCTCTTTCGGATTATTCAAAGACATCTGTAAGTTTTTCGACAAGAGAAAAGAATATATGTAAAATTCTAGACGGAAACTTCCTCTATCGAATAGTATATTCATAAGAAAGTTCTACTGCGCACCGTTTGAAATGTTTATAGGAGGTGACACTTTCTATTATGGCTGCGACGGAAGTGGCACCATCTATTCACAAATCAATGGTGCACAGTAGAATCTGATAATACATACATCATTAGATGGAAGAAGTCTTTCTCTACAAACCTACGTATATTCCGTTCTGTAGACAAAAGTGTCTAGTTGTCTTTTTATTTATAAGAGAAAAAAAATTTAATTAATATTACTTTTAGTGCTTTAAACACAACTGATAAACGTCGTGGAGAACGAATTTTGTTATTTTCAAGTGTTGCTGTAATTGTTGCTCTTATATCACTAAAATCTGTTTTTTTTCCACCTAAGGTTTGAGTTCCAACATATTCAATTGAACTAAAAATATAATTACAAACATATCAAAAGTTATTTTAAACCTCCCCCGTCAAAAACAACTCAATTTTTCTCAGAAAAATCAAAATTAAAAAAAAATCCATGGAATCATTAACCACCGTTTGATCTTTCATAAACGAGAATATTTTTCTTTTTTTTAGCACGTCATTTCTTTCAATAATTTTTACAAAGGCGTAACTCGGTATTGGAGTCAAGGGATGCAGAACGATTGAAGCCGAGAAAAAAAGCGCTGTGCAAACAATTTTCAAAGGCCGCGGGAGCACTCTGTATACGAGTGTGAGAAGTAGAAAGGCATTATCTTCAAAAATATGTGTTTTTCAAAAATAGCAGGAAATATTTTTTTGGATTGTGCATTCCCGAATTATCGAATGTGTTACGTTAATATTTATTTTTGTTTGAACAGTGCATATCAAGGTAATTCTTCGCATAACAAAAACCTCAAATCTATAGAATGATGACCTCGACAGAATTTTTGGGATTGTGTAATAAACTATTTTTGATTCTTGTTTGTTGAATATCTCCCGAAAACTTCATGATATTTGACTAAAAATTTCATACAATTTGAATATATCTGTCCGAAGATCGATTTTTGAAGGGGGTGAACTTAATAAAAATAACAAACCTAAATGCATCATATGATAAGTTCATTTTTTCAAAACGTTCTTTTAATTGTTCAACAGCTGTTTTTTGACATTGAAAATGATCTAATATATATATATTCCTATCATTTACATTTTTAAAATATTTATACAAAAATCAAACCTCGTAATACTTCAGTAAATTGTGTTTCATGAAAAACAATTAATGTTGGTCCCATTGTTGACATAGGTCCATCAACTTTACAATTTTTCATCACATTTTCTAATTCTTTTCGGAAATATTTTAGAAATGCATTTGAAGCATCAGATAAAAATTGAAACATATCATTAGGTAATTTAGGTGCTCGTGTTCGATATATAATAATATCACTTATACATAAAATTTTAAGTAAAAGTCTATTACGAATATTATCATTTTGTGATAAACCAAGTCGACCTTCAGTATCAAGTATAAGTGTACGTTGATTTTCATCTAATGCTGACCATACACCCATTGTACATGATTCAGTTGTTGATGATGTATGAAATTTTTCTTTTCCATTAAAAAATACTTGATTTAATGCATAAGATTTCCCATCACCTGTATTACCAATAATAGAAATACATTTAACTTGTGGATCTTGTGTCGAACATTTTAATTGACGAATAAAATCAGATTCATGATTAACCTTAATAAAATCGAATTTCTTTTTTTTTAAACAAAGATTTTAAAGAAAAATAAACTTACAGTTAAATGTTCTTGTGCATTTAATAATAGAAAAACTCCATTTGAATCTGTATTTGTTGAAGGTTTATGTGAATTACGATTATTATTATTAGTTCGATTAACATGATGATTATTTTTTTGATCATCACTATCATTATCTAACATTGATTCAAGTAACATTTGTTCATCAAAATTATGTTGTTTGGGTATTGGATTAGAATTTGAAATTTTTGATTTCATTCCATATTCTTTACGTATAGGTGGAGAACTATAAGTTTCATCACTATCATCAACTTTAATATCCTCAAATGAAGATGGTGATGGTGATGGTATTGGATTCTTTGTTCGTTCTTTTGAATTAGGGGAGGAATTTATTTGTATTGGTTTTGTTGCATTTCGATGTTGATCACTATATAAAAGAAAAAAAATTTATTTAACAATAAGTTCATTCGTTTCCGAGAAATTTTTAGTTTGGGAAAAACTGTCTCTTTATTTGGATGAGTATTGAATAATCATTCTTATGTAATTTAAGCAAACAGATGGTGCTAACTTGCGTCATCTGTTACGTGCATTTATAAGTTGGACTTAAGTATATTACGAATATGTTTCTTCTTCGGGATCTGAATGAAGAAATTTATTTACCAATGTTCCCAGAACAGAGTTTTTAATTAAAAAACTTGAAACTTCTCTCATCCAATTTAAGATATATATGCAGTATTTTTTGTTATCATTGATTTCTGTTTTGAAAAAAGTGAAATTCAATGTTATGAAATGACATTTTGGTTTTGTTTATTTTAACATTGTATGTCCTAAAATGATTATAAAAACATGAATGGAAACGAATTTCAAAATTCTGTTCAGATAGATAGAAACTACGCACAAGTATTGGTTTTCATTAAAAACCATTCCGAGCTCAGTATCTCTTATTTTAACAAGACTGCAAGGATTCTTATAAAAGCCATACACAAGTCGGAAGTACACTTTACTTTGATGTATCAAGCTGAAATTGTTCCCTGAAGCGTTTCTGTCAAAGACCAATCATTTTCAGTTCAAATGAACCATTTTAAGTGGTAAACCGATTGTGAGGATGTGTTCTTAAGATGAGTCTCTGCATTATGTAGATCCAAATACCTTTAGCTTATTACTACGACGATACCGAACTTTTATGTTATTTTTTAAATAATTGTCGTGATCCGGAAAAACTAATTTTCGAATTTCGATTTGTAATTTTCCATAGAAACAAACCATAATGAGAATAGTTTGATTTGCTTTTATCCTAAAATAAGAGCATCAAATCTGCACGTTTACATATATATATATAGATGATGTAAGATACATGCTATTATCATAGTTATATCTTATAATAAGAAGAGCGACAAGATCTGAAACATTTACGTTAAGTTCTGTGTCTATGCTAAGTTTAAAGTTGAAATTCGAAAATCATTTATCTTAAAAAATATCATAAAAGTTCAGTATCTTCTTAGTAACAAGCTAAGAGTAGGTATTCATAGTTCATTTGAATATACATAATGCACATAATATTCATTTCAACAATCGGAAGACTTCTTTTGTAAGATTTCTTTTAACGAGAAAATCAAAAATGAAAGCTTACGAATCAGTTTTCATGGCTAAGTTTTGTCCGTCTTTAGATTTTTGTGGTCTATGATTTTTTCCATCGGAATATTGATGTTTATTTTCATAGCATGAATAACAAAAGAATAATGTACAATTAGGACAATAAAAAATAGCTGGATGATTTCGATCAATTGAACAATATTCATTATCAATTTCATCTAAAGTTAATCGTTCATGTTTTTGATGATCAGAATTTTCATGAATTTGTTTGTCACATAATATACATTGTAATGAATTACATTGTACACAATAATATGTTGCTTTCGATGACATTTCTGTGTCACATGCTAAATGTTCTGCACATAATAAATACATTGTTGTTTCAAGAGAACCTTTTGGTGATGATAATTTATTCATTGATGAAGATGGAGAGTCTTCGTTACTTTTATATTGATAATTCCATAAACATATTTTCTCGGCTGCTTGCATATCGAACGATGGGAAATTTCGTTAAATAATAAGATAAACGAATTGCTAATATTAGCTGTAAGTAACGTGACTCATCTTTTTACCCAATAGAAATTAGATGTCATAATAATAATGATTATTGATTGATTCATAGGCAAATTTATTATTGTACAAACAATATTTAATAGTATCTTTAATTGAATCGCATAGTTTTATTTTTCTCACTAGATGTCATTAAGTGCAACAACATGATGTCGCTAATATTCGTACCTTTTTTATTGAAACCAACATAGATTTTCATTAAATGATAGTTCATTAAAATTCGTCTGACATTTATAAACTTTAGTTTTTGTTTATTTCATTAATAGAAAAACATTTATTATCAAATAATTTCATAGTTCGATAGAGTTTTACAACAATATTTATTTCAAAAATTTCTTCAGAATTAATACTGAGAGAATAGACGAATCGATTAAATTCAAAAACTCTTTACAAACATAATAGCATGAGGTGTTCCACTAACTTAGAAATCTACGAGATATATTTTTACTTGGCATCAGGGCAAGAAAATTAGTTTTACGTTAGAGCATTGTTTAGCAAATCTATTTCTTAACAAGCAAATACGACATTGTAAATGACTCAATATTACGATCGTAAACCTTCATATTGTTAAGAAAGAGATATGATGATTTACGGCGAAGAAAATAAAACACTCATTGACTTTTTTTGTACATCGAAGGCGTTAAATCATGTCCTCGTTGCTTGGTATACAGTCTGTCAGATATACTATCATAATACAAAGTCATGTAATACAGTCGTTTATGAACTCCATAAGATCAATATAAAACAGACTGTATTGATTTGTTTAAATGTTAGCAAAAAAGAATTTCCTACCAGACGAATTTCGATGGAAAAGGTCTTAATTTGTTTTTATAAAGTTTTTTGAGCTCAACTGCTAATGTCTCTATTCTCAACAATATTATAAATTTTCATATAGATATTGTTGTTGATCTTATCGAGCTCTATCGAATAAACATAAGTTAATCACAGGTATTACTAGAAGAATAGTATTTTAAAATAAGACATTATAAAAAAAAACTCGGGTTTTGGAATTATTTATATATTACACAAAAGAACAGCCAAGTCTATATGTATGTTCTTGATTATTTGTATTCACCATTTGATTTATTCATTTCTTCATCACATAACTTACACACGCGTACAGGTGTATCCCATTCTCGTTCAGGTACAGGACGTTTATTTGGTGAACATGTATCACAAATACCTTCACCACATTTTCGACTAGAAAATCAGCAAGATTATTTCTTGAGAATTCAACATTAATTCAATTACATACCAATGATGTAGATGTGTGGTGGTATTAAATGGTAGTTTACAGATGAAACAAGAATGACATTCACTATCTGGACGCCAATAATTTGGTCGTGTACTTTCTTTGATATATTCTATAGATATATAATTTTTTTTAATTTTCTATTTTTACAACAAAAATTTCTATATTCATACTCACTAATCGGATAGTCATACACCACACGTCCAACAGTATTTGTAACAACTTCTACAGCACGTCTTGACATGGAAAAACGATATAAATTTGGATCTGTAAGATGCAAATAACAAATAAAATTCGATATATATGTATCGATAAAATACATATTAATTGAGATATTACCTGCTGAACTATTAATACCATCTGTCTCACATTCAGGCGAATTCTTTTTTTGAGTATGTGCATAATTATTTTGAAATACTGATGAAAGTGTTGATGATTGAAGTTTATCATAACAATTATTACAAACACGTTCAAGTGTTTTGTTATCAAGAAATGGAACAATAGCACGATGTGTTGTGCACGTATCACAGAAAATATTACCACAAGCTGTGAAAAATATATGGACAAAATCATTCATCAGCGTCGTGACTTCGAAAAGTTAAAATACGCGTGTTTCGGAATAATAAAGTTTTCATATGTTACATGTATATTAAGTTACTCCAGAATCCCTGAAGAAGTTAAGGTTTTGTTCACAGGAGTTATCAGTAAAAAACTACCGTCAGCGATGAAGACTTCGCTTCAGTCATTTTACTTTAAAAAGCTCTACATTGATATCGAATTTTTGAAAAATAAATAATGCATTCTGTAGATAATTTCTGAGACTATAAAATCTCTATGTAAAGCTTTTTATGAAAATTCTTAGATTTTTCAAAAGAATCAATTTACTTTTCAGTAGCAACATGATGAAGTATGAAAAAATGCTCATATAATCAAATGAGAAGTTCAAAACTGATTTCAAACAATGCAAACCTTCTTGAGAATCTCTACATGATGATAAGACAAAAAATTATCGTTTCGAAACTTCATCGAGTTTTTAAGAGAAAATTATGTTCGATTTCAATCTTACTAAAAATTTTCAGTATAGATACGGTTCATGTCGTAGAATCTATTCTGAAGCTTTCCATTTTTTCCACGTATGAGTTGAACGATCATATTCAGATAGAAGGTAAGAGGGAGAGAAGTGATGAATCAATGAAACTTATAGCCCTCGTCTTCATCAAATAATTGAAAATTTCAGCTGTAACAATTGATAATGCTCAATTTTTTATGACAACTCGAAATCATTATTTCATTCTATTAGTCTTGAGAAAATATGCTGTTGGCAAAGAAGTAAATTCGATTATTCGCAAAAAATAATCATTTTCTTAATTGATTTTTTGCTCAAGTACTTTATAATAAACGAAATAAAGAATTTAGAATAATTATTTATTGAAAAATTTCACACTTTTTTTTACTATATTCCCGCTCAAATCTCTAGATCGTACTGATATGTCCATAGAATGAAAAGTAACGACTTTCTCTGGAAACAAACCTCGACAATGATGCTTCGAATGCTCTGATCCAAAGTCAAGTTTACACGACGAACATTTCTTCAAAAGAGATAAAATAAATTAATCTTATTGTAAATAATAGAATATGCTCTTACATGAACATCTTTATTCGCAACCCAATATGGTGGTGCTATTTGATCTACGACTATGTCCTTCAAGATTTTCGTTGGAACTGATAGATAACTATAACGATACAATGTATCAAACCATCGTTTACTTTTTACTTATAGAACAAACCTTCCAACATTATGAATACCTTCAAGAATTTTTCTTGGTGTTACATCACTAGCAACTCGACTATTGTCTTCACCTGGCCAAACATGAACAACTTCAACACGTGTTACATCTTTTGGTTCATTATTTCCATACCAATATTTTCTTGATCGATAGATTTCGCCATGATGAGAACATTCAATAACAAAACCAGACCAAACATATTTTAGAAGTCCTTGTACAAGGCTATCATTTTTTGTTATTAGTTTTCCATATACAATCATATCACGTCCTTCACGATGACATGGTAAACATTTCCAAACTTCATTATCTAATTCTTTATTATATGAACATCGTTTATCACATTGATGTGGAATATTGTCTTTTTGATGATTTGCAGCTAATGTACATTTAATTCTAATCAATTGATAAAAAAACAATAAGAAAACAAAAGAGGAAAGGTTAAAACAATTCTTACCCACAAGATTCACATTTAACATAACATGTAAAGAACTCATCGGGTAATGTTGAAGGCACTTCAGGAGGTATAGCATGATTAAATTTTTGATTCAAGGCCTAAAAAACATGAAAAGTTCTCTTTCAGACTGTTCGAAGACAGCTACAAGTTGTGCCAGAAAGATGGAATTGGTTCAGATTTTTACATTTTAGACCGAACCGAAACAGAATTGATTCCGTATCTACTAGATACTGTGTTCATATCAATAGGTGGTGTCACTTTCATAGCATTCTACTGTGACCACGACGAAGATGCCGCTACCCTTTGACGGATTAGCGGTACGCAATAGCACTTGACAATACATACATCGTTAGGTAGAGCAAGATTTTTTCTAAAACTCTACATATATCCTGTTCTTTAGTTAAGATCCTATAATAGCGTTTTCATTAGTGGCGTAATCAGAAAAAAAGGGGTAGATGGGGCTAGCCTCTCTGGTAATATGAAAAGAGGGAGTATAGACGCCTTTCGTCATGCCTATATAGGAGGCTTTAAGTTGTTCTCAACTGTTTGTAGGGGGAGTAGGTACTCAGAGATATACAAAGAGCACTAAACCCTCGTCAGGTTACGTCACTACTTCCTATGTTTACTTTCATAAAACAACACGAAAAAATTATTTATCTGTTTATATTACTTTTAATGCTTTAAAAATAATTGATAAACGTCGTGGAGAACGAATTTTATTATTTTCAAGTATTTCTGTAACTGTTGCTTTTATTTCACTAAAATCCGTTTCTGTTCCACCTAATGTTTGAATTCCAACATATTCAATTGAACTAAATATATAATTACAATCATATGAAAAGTTATTTATAATAAAATAATAAACCTATATGCATCATATGATAAGTTCATTTTATCAAAACGTTCTTTTAATTGTTCAACAGCTGTTTTTTGACATTGAAAATGATCTAATATATATATATTCGTATTATTTACATTTTTAAAATATTTATACAAAAATCAAACCTCGTAATACTTCAGTAAATTGTGTTTCATGAAAAACAATTAATGTTGGTCCCATTGTTGACATAGGTCCATCAACTTTACAATTTTTCATCACATTTTCTAATTCTTTTCGGAAATATTTTAGAAATGCATTTGAAGCATCAGATAAAAATTGAAACATATCATTAGGTAATTTAGGTGCTCGTGTTCGATATATAATAATATCACTTATACATAAAATTTTAAGTAAAAGTCTATTACGAATATTATCATTTTGTGATAAACCAAGTCGACCTTCAGTATCAAGTATAAGTGTACGTTGATTTTCATCTAATGCTGACCATACACCCATTGTACATGATTCAGTTGTTGATGATGTATGAAATTTTTCTTTTCCATTAAAAAATACTTGATTTAATGCATAAGATTTCCCATCACCTGTATTACCAATAATAGAAATACATTTAACTTGTGGATCTTGTGTCGAACATTTTAATTGACGAATAAAATCAGATTCATGATTAACCTTAATAAAATCGAATTTCTTTTTTTTTAAACAAAGATTTTAAAGAAAAATAAACTTACAGTTAAATGTTCTTGTGCATTTAATAAGAGAAAAACTCCATTTGAATCTGTATTCAATGAATTTTGTTGATTGTCTGTATCTGATATTTGCTCATGAAATTTGTCTCCTTTGGAGATATGATTCATAGTTTGTTTCTGTTGAGAGATAATAGCTGTAGAATTCTTTATTTGTTTCGAATCATTTTGTTGTTGTGATGATAATATATCATTTGCATCATAATTATCTAGTTCAACATCTGAAAATGTAGATGCCGAAGTGTTCTTATAGTTATTTTGTTTATAAGAATTGTTGTCATGTGTAACGGAGGATAATTGTGGATAAGTAGGTTTTCCTTCTAGTCGAGAATGTACACTAAATGAAATGGAAAAAAGGTAGCTTTATTATTAAGTCTTATTCGGGTTCATATGAAAATGTCAAGAAAAGAACATATAAGTCTGAGAAGCGAATGTAGCATAAAGAAAACGGGTGAAGTTATGCGTATTTTATCCAGTGAGAAAATCTCTTGTCATTAGCTTGAAAGTTTTAAAGCAAAGATCGTGTCTTTATTTATTGGAAAAAAATATTATTGTGTCTTACGTAATAACAGACATAATGTATAAATCGTTTTATTTTCCATATAAAAATTAATCTATTTCCAAAATTTAGTGTTTTATATTTTAGAAAAAAAAAGTTTTCATGTTTACTGATACGTCAACAGTCTGTCGACGTATTTCATTTATGATTGAAATTTAACAATAATCTATTTGGATATCATATTAAATATACTAAATTTTCGTTAGATTAATCAAATTCTTATTATATCTAAAAGCTTTACCAAACAGCAGTAATATGAGTGTTTCATCAACTTACTTATCCTTGTCCGAAATGAACATTTGTTCTTCTTTAGATTTGTGTAGTTTATGTTCTCTTCCATCTGAATTTTTATGTTTATTTTTATAACATAAATAACAAAATGATAATGTACAAGTTGAACAATAAAAAACAGCTGGATGACTTCTATTTATTGAACAATAATCACCGTCAATTTCATCTACATTTAATCGTTCATGTGTTTTATTATTTGAAATTTTATGAATTTGTTGTTCACATAAAATACATTGTAATACATCACACTGTACACAATAAAATATTGCTTTTGATGATATTTTACTATCACATGCTTGATAAGCTGCGCAACTTAAAAAAGACATTGCATGAAAAAGTTGATATGACAAATTTTCAGAAATAGAAAGTAAGAACTAACTGGAGCTATATGTTTGCATATGATTCATTTTTTTTTTATAAATAAAAATTTAGAACAAACGTATTTTCATCAAGGAATTTTCTGATAAAATTTCTTATACTATGAATACATTTATTCGTTTGAATAAATTCAATTGCCTATTCAATTTTCATAGATGTCACTAAATATACATGTATGCCTCTATTGGTTGTATGATTTGTAGTTTCAACATGTGTATCTATATATAATGTAGATATATATATTATTTTATTCAAGACAACTAAACAGAAAGAAATCAATTACTTCTAGTTGATTGAACTTAGTATCATGACCGATCAATGTATTGTATCAATGATTGAGTCAACTCGAAATATATCATTTGATAATAGTACACTTTTAACAAGTTCAGCTATTAATGCATTACATTTTCCTGATCTTACAACATCTGGAATATCGGATACAGGTGGTAGTCGACCAGCAAGTTTTCTTTTTGATAATGGAATGTATGAATCAATGACAGAAAGTTTTGCGTCAACAGGAGGTCAAGATGAAACAATATTAATTAATCAAATAAATATTCATCAAGCAGATACATCAATAACAAATAATAATTTAAAACTTGAAAAAAAAGATTCAATTACACAAAAAAAACGACGTTCACGTAAATCACAATATGATGCATCAATTGATGCAATATTATCACTTGATAGAATTGAATCTGTTAATTTATTCGATGAAATAAATGAAGCTGATGATGCTTGGTAAACTTGTTTCTTTTATTTTTTTTTATTTTCTAAATAATTTTTTACTTTTAGGTTATATGAAGTACCCAAAACTGAACATAAAAATGATCCAACTACTGATAATATATTTTCCTGGGTACATAAAGAATTTAAAACAAATGATATAAAAGAAAGTAAACATAGACTTCTTTGTAAACTTGATGATATGTCAAATGGTAAGAAAAAAAAAATTCAATAAAATAATTTTTAAAAAAATCTATTTTCGATTTCTTCATTAAGCACGAACAATACGTAGTTTATCATGTCACAATTTTGTTGATAATCAAAGAATTGATAATGTTAAAAGAAGTTTAACTGAGCAACAAGTTAATTCAGGTAGAAATTTTTTCAATTATTGAAATGAATTTTAAATTTCACCGTCATTAAGAAAAAAAAAAAGAAAATTTCGAAGTTTAGATAGAATCATCGAAAATGATGATAATGATCAGTTTTATATATTTATTGATGAATCTAATGATGATAAACATTTTTATAATTGTTTTAATGATAGTTTTGTGTTTCAAACTATTATTAATGAACATCATTTAATTCAACGATATTCATCATTGAATAGTCTTGATTATGATATAAACATATCTAGTAGTAAGACATCTAGCATGATGTTAGAACATGTTTGATGAGTATGCTATGTAACTATTTGTTTGTTATGCTGATTATGCTTTTCTTTTTTGTTAAGTATTTTAAGGAATTTCTTTTTTTTTTTTCAATTATAGAACCCGTCAAAAGTGGTCGATTGAATTCGCCATTACGTACAATTAGTCCTTTATTGAAGGAAAATATTAATACTCGATCAATATCACCACTTCGGCCTAATATTACAGTTACACATGCTGATGAAAATTATACTAATCATAGTACTGGTACAACTACAATACGGTCAAGAGATACTTCAAGAGAACGTGAAAGAGAACGATTGGATTATACTGATCTTGAAGGTAATTCAATAATTGGGTGAATATAAGGGAAATTTTCGAAGAGGAAAAATACTAACGATACATACAATCGTTAGTATTTGAATAGACACTTACTGATTGTATATTAGTGAATACTAATTTCTGAGGCTATCATGGCTGATTGGCTATTTTGTTCGTCATGCATTCAAATTACGCGGTATCAACAGTTATTGAATGACCCTAGACAAGTAGCCAGTAGGTGTTGGTCCCAGGTCACTTGTCTGTAAGCAGACTGACTAAGTTCTGACATACATCTGCCATCGTGATTAGTCAGTTGTGTACAAGAAGCTCAAACTAGGCGTGTAGGTAAGATNAGCTTGTACCACTGCTAAATAATCAGAAGAGTAGATGTATGTCACAACTTAGTCAACATGCTATCTGGCGGCTGACCCAAGACAAGTAGACGTTACCAATTTGTCTACGGTCATATTTATGACTGATGATATTAAGCTTTTGTATATAGTATACTTTGTGAATACGTGTCGAAGAACGCAACCACTCAGCCATGACGACTTCGAGTGGGGGGAGTTACTAGTGCAAACTTAAGAAATTTTTGTTTTTCTTCATATCCCTCTAATCTGAGCGATCTTAGTGCATCTCTGTGCTTTTGTTCGGAATATAAAAGACTTGATTTAGTATTGATCTGTTGTATTAATCACCTGTTAACAATGCAGAATCTAGTTTAATTTAAAAAAGTCAACGGTAATTTAAATCATTGAAGTATCAGCTTATGTTTCTGCTGAGAAAATAAATACAAAAGAAACTGGAAATAATGGAAATAAGAGAAGAGTAAAAAACACACAAAGAAATTTGATAAAAGAAATGGTGTATAGAAAAGCTGAACAAAAATAAATTTAATACTGAATCTTTTTAAACTCATTACTAAGCGTATAATAACAAAAATATACTGAACAATTAAATATAAACCTTTAATAATTATCTAAATTTTGTTTACAAATAAAATGAATTGTCTTCTTTGATTTTATTAGATCGACCAGGAAATAAACCTCCAGTTGCCCCAAAATCAACAATAACAAGGTTTAGAAATTCTCAATCAAATTTATTCTTTCAACATATATTAATTATTTAGAAATGGTATTAAACCAAATAATAATCGTGCATCAAACATGCAAACAAATACTACAACTAAAACGAATGGTTTTGGTGTATCAACGGTTACACTACCAAAATCTTTAGTGACCTCAACAACACGTGCAAGTGTTTTACCACCAAATTCAGCTAATAATAATCGTACACGACCAGTAACAAATCGTCCAATTCAAACTTATCGTGGTTCTCAAACATCTTGTAACAATAATAATAATCCTAAAGTTCAAGGTACTACATCATCATCATCATCAGTTCAACGAAATAGTAAAAAACCAACAAATGGTTTTGGCTCAACGTTTACTACTAAAGAATTTGAATCAAATGAAAATGGTCTACTTACTGATGTAAGTAATAAACCATTAATAGCACCAATACGATCACAAGTTGGACCACAACGACGTACTGTATTACCTCATTCATCAACATATTCATCTGTTGAACGAATTCCATCATCATCATCGTCGGTTAATATAGCAACAAGTCGACAAGCAATTCTTCCACGTAGTTCATCATCAACATTAAGTCAAGGAAGAAAAAGTGGAATACCATTTGTTGGAAAACAACAAAAACCTATTAGTACTACAACTGTAACACGGTAAGTTAGATTATTTTTGTATTAGATGAACTTTGTATTAAGCATATTTTGCTGTGATTTGCATGTCTATTATTATTATCATTTTCTTCACTGATAATATTAGTTAAATATTAAACATATTTTCAGTCATCACTCACTTTCTTCACGACGTACGACGATGAATGGATTTTAAACAGGCATGAGTATAGTAGTAGGCATTACTAATGACACTTATATAATCGCATGATTTATTGCATGGTCTTTTTTTGTGTTTGCTTGCTTTTGTCTATAAAATCAAATCAAATCATATGTTTATGTTCTTTAGACCTACATCGTCAAATGCAAATCCTTGTTCTAAATCTTCGGACAGTATGATGGTCACGAGAACTGTTCGAGGACAAGAATCAATAGCACGTCCTCAAATATCATTATGGAATGATGGATGTTATTAATTATTCTCACTATTTTCTTTTTTTGATCTGTATCCTATTGTGCATGCACAAATTTTTTTTTTTGATCTACTTAAGCAACGGTGACCTATGCATTTTTCTTCTAATTCTTTATGGCTATGATGATAAGTTATTTTTTTCTCTTTCTTTTGTACAAAAACCAAACTTTCTTTTGTTTTTATTATGTTAGTAGATTGTACTTGTTATTGTTGACAAATTTAATTTCGTTGATCAGCGCTTTATGTTTGACTACAAGATTAATTGTTCTTTTTCTTTCTTTTTTTTTTTGTTTGTTTCACAGTAATTGTGCCTTTGATGTTTGTTTGTTGTTTCTTTGCTTTGTATACTATTCTTACATACTACTTAATCTATCTCTTTTTTTTTTTTCTTGTAATCTTCCAAAGAAAAACTAAATCAACGATATAGACAAACAAACAGAAAATCAAAAAAATTTTAAATTAATTATTAATTATAATAATAAAAGATAAAAGACATTTTCATTGATTATACTTAGATTATCTTTGCTTTTTTTTTTATTATTGTGGTCAATATGGGTACTCAGGTTGGTTGTTAACATTTTAGTTTGGTTTCTCATTTTTTTTTTTAATTAAAACTTTTATTATCTAGTTTCGCTTAACGAAAGAGGAGAGCGCATTGATGGATGAATGTCGAAAAACGAGTTTTTGGTATCGATGTGAGTTTTGAATTTTTCTATATTGATTTTGAAGAAATATTCATTGTTTTTATCTATAGCGGTACCTTTAATGGCAGTAACAACAGCTGTTATGACATATCGACGTTTGAATAGTATGTTTTATTAAGATGTCTTAGAAGAAAAAAAAATTCTTTTCATGCCAAATTTAGATCCAGTCATACCTAAATTTTATGGTTTCAAATTAACTGGAGCAATTTTTGGAGGTAAAAAAAATGTTCGTGATAAAAATAGATCAATGATAGTATTTATGCAAATATGCTCATGTCTCAATTGAACACATCGGTTGATAGATGAAGGCAAAGAAAAATTAGTCAAGTCATTAGCAATGTTTTAATCAGATTTTCTCGTGATTTAAAACTCTAGACGGACGAACATCTATTTTTGCAAGCACAGACACATCACACATGATATATTAACCAGACATGCACTAAACTCAAACCCAAACTCATTTGGAATTTCGGTCTGGTTCCCGTAATAAAAGTAATCGAATGTTTCAAGTTTGAGGTTACATCGACTTTTGCTTATATTATCTTCTCCTAAGCATGCACAGATTCTAATCATTCGACTAAGATGGACTTCATTAGAATTAGAAATGAATTTGGTGCATTCCTGTAAGAAAAAAATATAGACAGAAGTAGGCTTAAACTCAAATTTGAACCATTGGATTAGTTTTAGTGTCAAACTCAAACTGTTTGAGTTTAGTGCATGTTTAATATAACCGCAAACTACGGAATAATCAATACGACGTTTAGAGAAGTGTCGTCCCCTGCGCTACATAAAATACTGTTCATAAATATTACCGTAAGAACATATGCAACCGTTGAATGCCGTTCGACTTCATATCATTGTTACAAGCAGTTGTCTTGGAGATTAAGAAAAGCGTAAAAGGATTTGGTTCCATGACCTAATGTTGAAGAATTACAACCGTCTTAATTAAACTTTTACGGAGAACAAGGAATTTCAGACAGACTTAGCATGAAGAGTTTTGATCTGAATTTTTTTTTTTCATAAACAGATTTAATAATGATTAGATAATCCTGTTTGAAAAAAGCTTCATTAAAATGCCCACAATGCTTCAACCACAGGCTATGAGTTCACATTCTTTTACTCTTTCTTTAGTCTCAAAAGAAACGACTCTTAACCATAATATGAAGTCAAACGGCATCCGACAGTTGGATATATTCTTTCGTAAAGATTCATGAAAATCATTCTTAAAAAAGGAACTTAACTCCTCCTCAAAATTTTCAGGAAAGTCTTCTGTGATGTCTAATCTGTTTTCATAATTTTTAATTAAAAAATTTTTCAAAAAAAAAAACAATATGATTTTTAGAGGCTCAAAAGTAAATGTCGATCATTAAGATTTTTAACTCGAAACCCTAAAAATTCATCATTATAATTTTTTTTATTGTAGCATATTTATTGGGTAAAGTATCTTATGTCCCAGAATGTCGAAAAATGATTCTTGAAAGATTACCTAATTCAAATCTTGCACATTCATTCGATTCGAAACCATACGATATGATTTCTGACATGTACGGATAGATGCAGTTTTCATTTTCTCGATCGATTTTTTTTAAATTTCTTTTTAGGGCTCAACCACCGGAAATTGTTTCAAAATCAGCAACAACAAATATATTTGGTACATATAATACTGAAGAAGAAAATCAACAAGATGATATCATGTCTCCAAGTGATGCAACAGATAAAAATACTCCTCGACGATATGTAACATATGATGAATTACGTCAAAAAAATCGAGCTGAACATACATCGAAATTTTCAGGAACAAAAATTCGAAATGGTTTGTATCTCAATTTTTTTGTATTATTTCTTATGTTTTTGTTTTTTTTTAGATACACCTCCAGCTAATACTTCTACAAATACACCCGTACAAGACAATAAAAAACTTGCACCTTTGCCAATAATCACTAACGAACCAACATTAAATCCAATTACAACAAATCCTCCTAAACGATCGAATGGACGAAAGAATCAATATGGTGATGAAGTATATGATTAGAGACTTTATTTAATTTTCGCAACGATAGTTATTGTTTTTTTTTCTTTTTTTCTTAAAATAAAAATTGATATGTATATGCACAACATGCAAGCAAACACAAAAGTCGCTTTACCATGAAAAAAATGGAATATTACCACCATGTTTTGTATAAATGTGCTGATTTTTTTACCGTTGATAAAAGTTTATTCACAGCTAATTTTCGACAAAAACTTTTTTTAAGTACCACTGTTGACTTCCATGAAAAATAGTCATCCTTCACGAGTTGTGAAAAAAAAGATATATTCTTGTGGCCAAAATGTGCGTTAGATTCATTAACCATTTAGTGTCATGTTAGCTGTTGAAATAGTTTGAAAGTGAGAATATCTCGGTATTTTCAAAGTTTAAGATAAACTAGAAATGATAGTGAGATAATCCTTACGAGAAAATTTCCTGCCACCACGGAAGCTCTCCATGTGTTAAATTCCTTTTCAACCGAGACGATGTCCATCTGAGAAGCAATAGAAAAGTCTACAATGGGTTGGTTATACCGGTCCGTTGTTCTTGAAATATAGAAATTTTACTGGTGAGGGAACGTTTTTAACTGACTACTTAGTTGCCTTTTCATTGAAAGCTAGCGAATTATGGATCATTGACATGCGAATTCTGAATATAATCATAAGAAGTCTCCGTAAGTCTTTATATACTGGCATTTTAGACTAACAAATTTTTCTGCAGAAAATACAGTCATTTTAATTCATACAACAGATACATATCAACGTTTCACTGCCAAAAATTGTCAAGATAATATTATTTTTTGCTTGAAACAGAAAGGATTATTAACTGAAGAACAACACAATATTCTGTATTATCTGAGTAGATCACAAACGATTTTTGAAACATGTTTGTTAGCCTGGAAAGTTTTCTCGTGAGTTTTTTTTGTTCAAAAAACCTAGTAAAATTTCGATATCTCAAGAATGAAGATCCAAAAAGCCAAACCATTCTAGACTTTCCTGTCATTCATCAAATAAACGTTGCCTTGATCGAAAACCAATTTAATACATTGAGAGATTTTCTCATGGATCACATAAGAGTACACGGAACACATTGAAAGTATTTTCAACAAAGTCTTATCGTTTAAGGACTGCAGATTTCAGGATACAATGTGTAGCAAGGCATAAATCTTTAGTATAAATATGAGACTCAATGACAATAGGATGTGGGTGTTAATGAAGAGAAAACTCATCTTCACACCCTCGATTGCAGCAATAGCTGTATTACAACGTGAAATGAGTCAGCAAGTATTTTTCTTATGTGTTAAGTGTTAATTGGCAAGTTATTTTTATTGATTGTAAAATAGTGGATTTACCAAAGCACTTTTTGACCTTTCTATAAGCAACCATTTTGTCCACTGAGATACATTATTTTTGTTTTGACAAAATTCCTGAATTATATTTAGATCAATAATGATACCTGAAAAGATAGATTTTGTCAACATTTTTCTTATCAAAATAAACACACCTGGAAAAATCAGTCTATTTGATCAAAACATGAAGACGACATTCTATTCTTTTTATCTCACGTCAGTAAAGTAAGTTTTGATCTACTCTATATATTTCTCGCGTGTTAAAATATTCAATTTTTCTCTGTGTTAATTTCTTATATTTTTCTTAATTTGATTATATTTAATACTAATAGAATTACTCGTTTGATCTGATGATGTTAGTGTTTCCATTGATTGTATCTCATTAGTCGATGTAGTTCTTCTCGAATAGATTTCCTCAGGAGATGTACTATATGATTTGTGTAAATGTTTTTTTTTTCGTCTATAGAATTGATGTTTATGTGAGCTTGTATTGAGATTTTTCTCGGCAATAATTTTTTTCCTTTCAGAACCATTACTTCTCGTTCGTACTAAATGTCTTATGACTGGTAATCGATGTTCATGATGATTTTTAACTTCAGCTTTAGCATGAACGATTTTAGATTTTTCTATATCAGTTGAATTATCTTGATGAATACAAGCTGCTATTGTACCATATTGTGATTCAATTGTAAATTGATTTTTTTGTGTAATTATTGAATTAAAATGACTTGATTGAAATAATTTATTGAGTAATTCAGATGAAATATGAACTTTTAATTTTGGTGTTTTAAGATTTTTTTTTTGTTTTTCTAAAAGTGTTTTTATAAAACGATCTGGTAATCGAATCATTAATACAATATGTGAAGATTTTGATGATAATTCTATTGGATGAAAATCATTATTATTACATTGTATAGTTTTATCATGAGTAGCAACACTAAAATAAAAAATGATGAAATATAAGTGTTTGAAATTATTTTTTTCTTTTTCAAAAATAAATTTACGTTGGTTGAACTTGATTATTTATATATGAAATGAGAATTTGATCGATTAAATTTTTATCTTTTGATAATAGAGATGAATTAGGTTTGAATAATTGTTGATTCGAAGGAGAAATAACATCTTCATAATAATTTTGATTTTGTGCGTAAGTTTTATCATTAAATTTTTTTCTATGTCGTCGTGTTAAATGTTTAGATTTAGTAGATTGATCAAATGGAATTAATGTATTACTCATATGAGAAATATTTAAATTCTATTATAAAAACAAATCATTAGTTATTTCTATCATTGTTTTTCTATTAAGGGGTATTCCTTCTTTCGAAGTTTCTGGAGAATGAATCATTAGAAAAATATAATATGAGATATTTGAGTCATAATGTATCCCGCTCATTTCTTCGAGATGTTATATTTGATCGAGCTGAAAATTTTTTTACAATCACTAGACACTGTTTGGAATGGGTATCTTTTTATTTTTTGTCCTTGAAAGCCAAAATATCGAAGGTGCCATATTTTCTGAACAATATTTTTCGAAACAAAAAAGTAGTACATACCTGAAACAGTGTATGGTATATATAAAAAACAAACATTTCCGCTCAATCAAACGTATTACGATGTGGAAACAGGAGCGTTTTTGTACTTATTTTCATGAAAAAGTTGCTTTGAGAAAACCGCAAAAAAATATACAGCTCTCGCTAATTTGATTTCTTCTAGAGCTTTTTACTGGCTCAAGACAATGTTCCGGTTCCAAAATGTACTCAGTAGATAAACACTACTTCGGACTATGTAACGACCACAAAAAAGAACAAAAGTTTTGAGTTACGGAAGGTCAAGCGGTGCACTCTTAATGAACTCAATTCTTTACTTTTTTTAGATTTGTTTTTTGTTGTAACAATAATGGTACAGAGTTTCTTCGATGTCTATTATTAATACTAGTTGACTGATTTTGACTTGTTGTTGAACTATGACTAAGATCTTCACTTGAAGATCGTTTATTATGTTTATAATCTTGTTTAATTAATGATTTTTTTTTCATTATTTGTGAATAATTAAGTGAACTCATTTGCATAAGATGAACTTTAGTTCGATAATAAGCACATTCATTTGATTTAAGTTCAATAATTTTTTCTAATATCATTATTCGATTAAGTAATTCTTTATTTTTATTTATATTTGATGTCATGATCAATAATCAAAGCGTGAAATACAGAGAGAATAGAGTAAATGACAAACTTAAAAACATTTCCCGCAACTTCACTAGTTAATTGCATGCATAAATGTATATATATATATATACATTCTTTTATAATTAGTTCAATTTATTGGCAAAGAAAATAAAAGAGAGCAAGAGACAAATAAAAAGAAAAATATTTTTTTTATCGTCGACCAGCCCACGCATTAAAACGTCGTTTGCCTACAAGACTTCGTTTACCAGCCCAAGCATTGAATCGACGTTTTTCGAGATCATGTTCATCTTCTTCATCTGAATTATTCATCATTGAATCTTCATCTCGATAGAGTGAATAGAATTTGCCTTGTGTAAGTGCTAATGGTCGTTCGACAAGCAATTGATGTCGATCATCATTTTCTTTGCCTGATAATGTATATGAATGAGTAACACTTAACTAGAAAAATAATATCGAATTTAATAAAAACACAAAAAGAAAATGAAAAATCATATATATTTATATTTACCATAAGTAAAACGCAGCTCAGAATACCAGTAAGAATGACAATTGTGTTCATCTTTATTATTTCGTATATAGGAGGCTTATCTAAAGAAGTAATACATGTGAATGCTTCTGGTTTTTTTCTATTCTATATAGTTATTGTCACAGAAGATCACAAAATTAAATCAGTACAAATATTATTTCTTATACAGAAATGCAAATGTGCTATTATATAGATAGAGAAGCCGTGATAAAATACAATACACACATACACCAACATATAAATATATATATATATATACACGCAGAAAATAAGCTCCTTCCGGAGACCTTCATTACCTACCAGTTATTGTTGAATGAATGTTGTATGTAGTGGAATGTGTAAGACTCGTTCCTGTGTCGAGGCTTTTTTATTGTTCAAAAAAGAAAAAAACGCGAAGTGATACAATTATTAATATGTCCCAACATTTTCTTAATAAATAATGTTTCTCATATATTCTTCCTCTCTTTTTCTCGCTGCCCACTTATTTCTTTTCCTTTCTCAATGGTTTTCTATAACGAAACATCTTTCTTGTTGTTGTTTCTTTTTATTCCGATAAGGTATAACGAGTTTATTTTGACTCATATATGCATATTACTAATCAAAACGGCAATATATGTGAATTATGACCGATAGAATGTTCGAATAAGAGAAAGGAATGGGTTCATCAATTGCGGACATAAATGAGGAAAAAATCATCATTCATATATAAATTATTGAATGATTATAATAACAAACGACGCTGTGCTTGTTTAGCAGTAAATATTTCATTCGTATACACCCTTCTCGTCATCCAATAACGAGCCGATCGGACCATTAAACAATGTCGTTCCTGCAATTAGTAGGTTCAAACAAGAGAAAGATCTTCCTCCCACAAAAAAAGAAAAAGGAAATAATAAATGGAAAAACAAACATGAGAGAATGTTTATCTAGTTGACTTGATTGATCAAAAAATAACGATACGGTGCATATATAATATATATATATATATTTTTTTTTTTGGAAGGAAAAAAGAAAACATTGAAATTTTGTTCTTTACATCTACTAAACAGATTCTTCATGAGTGCTCAATGAGTTCCAGGTTTTGTACTAAATTGAACAGATACTGGTTTTAATGTTTGACGAGTTTTAGTTTTTTCACGTGATGTTACTGCAACAGAAGAAGTTATTGGCTGCCATTGTGGTTTATTCGATTTAACTGTTGGTTGTTCGACAGATGGTGTTGATCTTGATTTAAGACGATCAATTTCATCTTGTAACTCTCGATTAAGTCGATTTAGTTCATCTATTTTAATATCACGTATTCGAATTTCATGTGTTTGATCACGTTCTAATTTCGATTGTAAAGCATCTTTTGTACATATTCGTGATAATTCAGTAACTTGATTTATACCATAGAAATGTACTAATAAATCATAAAATGGTTTATTTTTTCGATCTTCTATTGGCAAATAGCGACTTGTATAAAGTGCTTCATATAATTCTTCTTTGAGTTTATCAGTACCTATGAATAAACAAATTCTAAATTTAAAAAAAATACTTTTTGTTCTTTCATTTACCGATGCCTCTTATTCGAAGAGATTCAATTTCACTTGTGTATCGTCTAAGTTTGTTTTGTAACTGTTCAATCGAATCGTATTGTGTACCGGTGTGTAAAACACTGATTTTTAAGATACTATCTTTAACATAGAAAATTTATGTTCTTTTTTGTTATTATATAATTAAAACGTACCAAGAGTAACAAGCCAATCGGTAAGTATTGCCATTTTATCATTCATCTTAAATAAACTTCTATTATTTGCATCGACCTAAAAGAAAAAACAAATAATGAAATGTTTTTGTTTGAAAACTAAAAAAAAAAAATATTTTACCATTTTCGTTTGATTTGACCATTTATTTTCGAAATCTGATTGAAGTCGACCTACTTGTTGACGAAGTTCTTGTAGTTCGTCTTCCTAAATATAAAAACATTAGAGTTTTTCTTTTGTTTAGTTTAATTTAAAAAACCATACTTTTCGTTGTTGAGCAAATTGTTCGTTTCGAAGTGAATCTTTTAAACCAGCAATATTACGTTTCTGTCTATAGAAAAAGAAAAGAATTTAATTATTGTTACGAATTTAATTTAACAATAATTCACTCTTCAATTGTTTCAATTAATTTATGTTGAGCTTCATAATGTTGTCGTTTTAGGTTTATAACTTCTACTGATTTACATTGACTTTGAGATTTCCATGTATCATTCAAATGAACTTTTAATAACTAAAAATATTTCATTATATGTGAGAGAAAAAAAGATCTTTTTATTTTGCTTTTTATATTGCTTATTACTTGTGTTTGAAGATATGTTTTAAGTTTATCTCGTGTATCAGAACGTAATTTATCAATACCAGGACATTTTCTTAGCATATCATCATCAATAACCACTCGTTCAGCTGCATCTGCTGTTGAATCAGATGCTTTTTTATCTAAATATATCCATTTCAAATGTAATCAACTTGTCTCAATCGATATATTTGTCAATAAGCATTGGTAAACATTTTTCCGATGAAAAAAAAAAGAGAATTTTGTCGCTGTTATTTTAGTTAAGAACAATGAAAGACAAATATTGTGTGAAAATATATGTTATGAATTTACCTTCACTTTCAAGAAGTTCACCTAAAAATGGTTGACCATTTGCAATTAGACCTTCAACTAATTTTGTAAAGGCTAAATCACCATTATCAATAACACTTTGAAGCAATTTTTTATTTCTTTCATATGATGATGATAAAGTCTATTAACAGTTATGATTAAATTAAGAAAGAAATTTAATTAAATTAGCACATACTTTAATATCATCAAAGACAAAATCAGGAAGAACTCTTTTTTCTTTAAACCATTGAAGAAAATCATCAGTAAAAATAAGATTATTTTCAAGTAGGCTACGATAACGTTCTAATATATCGCGTTTTCTTAAATTGACCATATTAATTATATCAAATAATCAATCGTCAGTATATATATATATATGCTGGTCTAATGTCTTTCTCTCACACTCAATGACATGAAGAAAAATAGAATTTCTCGAGTTTTCTCTTTTTTTTGTGTGTTTTACTTAAAAAAAGTCTTTTTTCATCAATAACAAATGGTTCTCAATTTCTTTCTCTCTTCTTCTTCTTCTTTTAACGCACTTTTATACGGCCTTATGAAAAGAGAACAGCAGTCATCCGCTGACAAGCATTTTTGATTTGTTCAGTATAATTGCTAATAAAACAAAAATAACTCGTCTAAATGAAAAAGAAAACTGCTAAGGTTTTTATATTGGAAAAACAAACAAAAAAGAGAAGAGAAGAGAACTAGTAGACGAATAATAGACGTTAGAATGTCCGGCATTTGATAGTAAAACAGTAAACGATAGAATAGAACCATTTTGAATATATTAGCTGAAAGAGAAAGAGAGAGAGAGAGCTTAAATGTTCACATATTTCCGCCCCTTGCATCGGAACATGTTTAATAAGAACTTTTTAAGAACATAATATGATTCCATTACTTTATAATAAAATACGTGTCAAAATAAGACATTAAACGGAAAGAAATAAGATTTTCGAGATAAAGTAATCGATCTTAATTTAACCAAATAAATGACAATAAGATAATTTAAAAATTTGAAATTGTATGAAATGAATTATCAATATGGTTAGATAGAGTTCAAAGTTATGAAAATTATTTGCATTCATTGTCATTCTAATATTTTTGTGCTTAGGAAAACAATAGGAAAAAGTGTATTCGTCTAATTGCTTGAAGAAATTCAGCTATATTCTTAATAATTCATTGTGAATTTCATTAGAAATCAATGCTCTTAAATTGTTTTCAGGCTATATACTTCATTTTAAATGATAGTGTTATTTTAAAGAATTTTCTATTACCAAGGCGACATATATATAACCTTATTAAGGACGATCTGCAACGGAAAGTAAGTAGTTTTTTTTTTCATTTCTTCGTCATCGGAAGTCAACTGTTAATTGGAGTATAGCAAGATTGGCTATGCTATAACTTGCAAATTGTTCTTCACATATTTATCAAGTATTTCGATTACTTGATTTTGAATAATTTTCTCGTTAGTTTTAGTTTTATGTTACATAATCAACAATGATGTTGACGATGTTTTCGCTTAGACCTGATGACAATGGTTAACGAAAGTGTGTATTTATTATAAAAAATGTTTAAACTGTAATTTCAGATCTTATGCCTAATCTATGACGAGAAGATTCAATTAAGAGTCTCAATTTATCATCAAACATTTGTATAAAAATAGAAATTTGATAAACTAGAACTGAATAAATTTGGACCAGGTAGGTTCATTAATAATCATTGAGAAAAAAAATTCAAGTACTAATAAAATGTTTAAATCCGTAACTAGAGAAATTTATCAAACAATGAAGTATCCTGATCAACAAATCATATGAAATTCTATTACGACAGTGTGAACAACACGTGAAATATATTGTTATCCAATATCATAAAGGAAGAAAATTTTATTCTGTAGTTCATCCATCAATTTTCACCCTGTAATGTTCGCTCATACTTTTGATTGCTCAGCTATATTCACAATAGACGAGACATAACATCCGACCGGAAACTTTTTAGACAGAATGTTTGTTAAATTATGAGCCGCTAGAAAGTATCTTCGACGAATCAAAAGCGATGATGTTGTGTTCGTTTCAAATATTGTCTTAGAAGTGTTGTGTTTCTTTTTTGTAAAAAAAAGTGAGAGATATGCTAAAAATTGTCGGAGTCGATCGTTTTTTGTAGAGCAAACACTTTTCTACAAAATATGATATTGAACTAAACTGTAGCCTTTATTAAAGTATTTTTCCAAGAGCAAAGAGTAAATGTCTCTCGAATAGCAAACGCTGCATCTACAGCATTGAGAAAAACTCTTTTTCACTCTTATATACTGTTCTTATGTATATGGTTATTTGTATTCAGAGGTGCAGAATCTACCCGCGTGCGCGTACGGCCGTGTGGAAAAATTTTTCGATTCCTAGGAGAGTTCTGGGGAAATAGCTGGGGGAAGACACTGTCGTGCGGGGAAATTTTTTAAAATCACTGCAGATTCTGCATCTCTGTTTGTATTGTTCTCAATGATTGTGCATAAAAAATATGATGACCTATCTCATTTCTACTAAACCACCCTGAGAAGATTTATGCATTGTTTCGAATGATTAGATACGTTTTTCTTGTGAATGTAGGTATATGATGAAATTGCTTTGAAAGATGGGTGTGTTACGTATTGAAATAGATATTTACCTGCGCTATCAGATTCAATTGATAGTGAAAAAATACTAATCAATTTAGAAAGTCTTGTTGAATATATATCTGTTCTTGAAAAATGTGTACTCTGCTTGCTTAAGTATTTGACTGTGATATGTCGGATTTCCATATTTTGGAAAGCTTTCTGGCACATTTTTATCTCAGATCTACAAAGCACATTTAGGCATCTAAGTAAATTCTTGTTACCGTATTTCCATTTTTCTATATGTACTACTAGGACTTGATCACTATCAATGTTCGCTCACTTTTGCATGAGAAAGGATGCGTGGGTGTGGGTGTATGGGTTAAGAGAAAACTCACCCATACCCTAATAGCAGGTTATCATAATAGAATAAATTCTCTTATTTATCGAGAAGACTCAAATATGTAGGATTTGATTGGTTTTATGAAAGCAGAAGAAAACTGTGCACAAAATTTTGTATTTTAATGGTCTTTTAGTGTGGCGAAGCAGCAAAACAAGTGAACAACAGCATTACAAAGTCGAATAAGCATGTTGTATAATCGATATAATAGTTAATCTCATTACAACATCTGGTCTCTTCAACGGTTTATCTTTTATTTTAAGAGAGAAAAGTTATGATTGTACAATAAGAACATTATTTAAGATTGACAAACTAATCTTTTATAGATTTTTCGCTTGTCTTTCACTCTTTCATTATTTCAGTTTTCGACATTTTTACTGTCCACTAAAGTTTGCATAACCGTTGGTTATCCAATGACTGCCATATACCGATAGGTGTTCCTTTCGTCTTACAATCTACTGTCGATTGACCGAAAAAAACGTGCAATATGAATATCATTTTATTTAATGAAATTGAAAATTTTTAGAAATAGAAATAGAAATATAATTATATTGTGAATTTCTTTCGTCATAATGTGAAAAACAAAAAAAAATATAATAACAAAAAATTAATACAATTATTATTAAAAATTATCTGATAAATATCATTGTTTAGTATCAAATATCACCAACATTCTTCAATAAAATATATCACATATAAGAAAAGACTTGTACTAAAAAATAAAATCTAACATGACTACTCAATTGATTTATGCATACCAACTTTTTGTATTATTTTATAATTCAACTATAATAAACCAAAAGAAATTATTTCAATAATTAAATGAACTGTTAATTCATACCTTTAATTTCAAATAGAATTTCTATTTGAACATCTGTTTTACATTTTGTCTACAAAGTAAATCATCTGTGTAACCAACACATCCACATGATCACGGTCCCTAAAATAAAATCAAAAATGTATTTTCATATATTCTTTCTCTTGTGTCATTCGTTTAAAATTAATGATGTCTATGAAAAAGAAATTTCAATTAGAAATAATCCATTCTTACCCAATATGAAAAAGTTTTTTTTAAAATACTATTATTCCAATATTTGTATTTATGTTTTAAAAATCCGATAAACATTTTCCAAATAGATGCGTCGAATTAAATAAATATTCCATAACCAATAATTTAAATTCTGTTTTTTTTCGGCTCTAATTTAATCAATCTCTCTCTCGAATAATCTTTCCAAAAAAAAACAAAAAAAAAATGAAAACAACAGGTTTTTGTTTATTCTATGATTTTCAATTGTCAAAGTATTATTATTGAGATCAGCAAAAAAAGAAATACACAAGCCTTTTTCAATATAGAATTTCAAATGTGTGAAAACAAAATGAAAAAAAGATAAATCATTTATGGGATGCCACTTGGCAAAAATCATTTGTTGTTTCTTCTTTTTATCAACGATAGACACTTCTTTTGGTTGAAAAAGCAAAAAGCACAAAACAGCAAAAACAGAGAGAAATAATGACAAATGACATAGACACGACAAAAAATAAGGATGAATTGATTATTCGACAAATCGTTTTTATTATTATTTTTCTTTATCTTACTATATGAATACTAATTTTTTTTTTTTTGTTTGGAAAAAAAAGAACTTTGGGATAATAATGTTTGTCGAATATTTAATGAGAAAACAAAAAAGAAAAAAAATCAAGAAATCAAGTTTTTTTTTCGGTTTTTTTGAGATTGTGTTCAGTTCGATTTTTTTGTCTGAATTAGGAATAAAAGAAAAAATAATTTCATAGGTTATGATTTGTGTTTCTTTTTTTTTGCCCACTGTCTTTTTAAATGTTCACCTCTAACACACATTGAAATTTATCTAACAGCAAATCTCAGTTCCAGCTATAACTGGATTGTTGCTGTGAATTGTAACCTTGATCTTGATACCAATTACCACGGGTATTTTGTTGTGAACCGCCTTTATTCATATTATTTGAACCATCATTACCATCGCCACCCATCGAACCCCATGATCCAGTATCAGGACGACCACGTTTAGACATCATACCATCATTCATTTGATTTGAAGGTCGTTTCATACCTCCATATTGTCGATTTTGTTGCATTGGATTCATACCAAATCCACTATTATTCATACCCATTCGGCCATACGGAGCATTATTATTATTTTGTGGTGGACCATTAAATGCGCCAAAATCACCTAAAACAAAAAAAAATCAATATTTCTCTATAATAGGTGTTGCAACAAATATTCGATCACTGGAAAAACATTTTATTTTTCTAAATTAATTATTAGCTGTGGACACTTTCACCTAGGAAATGACGTTAGGAAAAATATCGATTTTGAACTCAACTGACTAACTTGACAACATTAGATTTGTTTACAATGTCCTATCACAGGGCTATAAAACACGGGAAATAAGACAAACTATCTTAGTGCATAGAAATTTCCTTCTTGTTAAAACTTTTTCGCCGAAGATTAAAATCAAAAGTCTTATCTCGCTTACCTGGATTATTAGGACCACTATTAAATCCACCAGGATTATTCTGCGAAAAAGAAACAGATGATATACAAAAAAATAAATTCTTTCTTTTTCCTTACATATTGTGATGGTCCATCAAAACCTCCACGGAAATTGTTATTATTATTAAAACCGCCACGATTGCTTTGATTAAAATTACCACCACCACCACGATTACCTGAATTAAATCCACCACCTCGATTATTTCCGTATCCACCTCGATCACTACCTGAGTGACCGCCACCACGCTTCAAAAACAAAAATTTCACTCATAGGTAAAACTAATCATTGAATTTGCATCACTTACACCACCAGTACCGCGATTCGATGATCCTCCTCGCATTGGACCACTATCCATTGGAACATGTCCAGCAAAAGCTCCAAATCGATTAGAACCTATTAACAAAATATAAAATTTATGAAAACTCCCAAGAAAAAAACTATAACTGACTGAATGAATCGTCGGGTGGATTCATATTACGTTGTGAACTCTTTCCAAAACCACTTGATACTGGTGCACTACTATTTCCTCCTTATAAATTATGATCAAAATCATCACAAGAATTAAACGGCCGATCAAAGAGTTTTCGTTACTCACGTTTAGATTGAGCTTGTTTACGCTTATCACTCAACGGTTTAGCTAAACTTATTTCCATTGTATTACGGCCAAGACTCTACAACAAATTTTTAAATAAAATCTAAAAAAGTTTTCATTCATATTCGATTACTTTTCCATTAAGTGCACGCATTGCATTTAATGCATCTTCACGTTTGTCAAAATGAACAAATGCATAATCCTATTGTATACAAAAAAAAATGTGTTCTTTTAAGGAATTTCGAAGATGTAAATAAACTTACTCGAACTTTTCGTACACGTTCAATATTTCCATACGGTAAAAATACATCTTTAACATCATTTTCTCCTACATCGGATGTTAAATTTCGTACATATAAAACTTTAACCTGTGACATGGTGTCATCATCAGGTTCTTCATCTGGATCAGCCCAATCAACAGCAATATCACGATTAAATACCTATATTTATATTTTCAATGAGAATTATTCACGATTTGCACGTTGCGCACGAACATATATATATAAGTGGCTATAATAAATTATCGTGCCTTTGGTTTCATCTATCTTTTACAATCACCTTACTAACATATGTTGGCGAGGCGATTGAGAAAGACAGGAACCCGACCTTAGCAACAAATCAGCTAGTATAGTCATATGTTCGTGATCAACAAACAAACAATCACTATGTCTCATCATAATAAGAAAAGATCGTTCTTTTAAATTATTCTTACTCGAACACGAGCATTTCCTAATTTTCTTTTTGCTACAGACGCATTTTTATGTGTATCGAAATCCACAAAACAAAATCCACGATTTTTTTTCTTATCAGCTTCATCAGCTGGTGTATAGATAATCACATTTGATACACCCTCTAAATAGCCCAAAACTTCAATATAAACAAAAAGAATTATTTCCTTATAAAATCTTACCAACAACTTTCGATAATTCCTCACGAATTTCTTCTTTTGACTTTGTTTTCGGTATATTACCAATAAATAAACGAAGATTAGCAACACTACCATTTGCTTTTAAAAGTTTTCCTGGACGGATAGCATAACCATTAAGCTACATAAATATTACTCATACAGAAAAATTCTTTATTTTACAAAAACTCAACTTACTCGTTCACATGCTTTAACGGAATCATTTGCAGAACAATATGTAACAAAACAATAACCTTTATTAAAACCGGATACTGGATCAATCATTAAACGTAAATCCCAAATTTTTCCAGCTTCTTCACATATTGGAATGAGTTCATCTTCAAATACTTCACGTGGAATTTTACCAACAAAAACCTTTAAAACAACTGAGTGAATTGAGGCAAAAAAAACAAATTTCAATAACATACTTCACTATTTGCAGCTGGTCGTTCAGGACCATCAGGTGGTGGACCACCATATTTACGTTGACCAGCAGTTATATCCATTTTATATCCTGTTCGATCCATAATTTGCTATTAAAGAAAAACGTTTCTTTTTTTCACAAATCATTTTTATAGATTCCTACTTTAAGTTTAGCTTCATCCGGACCCGGTTTATGTTTACCCGAGGTACTTCCATTATCATCTTCACCTTGTACTGATTGTGAATTATTATTTGTAGATTTCTGTTCTTGTGGATGACGAATTTTCCATTGTTTAATTAAATTACATAAAAAAGCACTTTTATTAACAACACCAGTTAAATCCGAACCATTAAATTCAGTAAATAATGAATCAATGCTTGTTGTATCATTGGGAAATGAACGTAATTGTTCACATACACGACTATCAATATCAGATGAAGTTAATTTACCTAAATAATAAAAATTGAAATTATATTTATTGATCAATATTTTTATTTTTATACCATTTTCAATACATAAACGAATTTTTTGTACAATATTTTCATTAATTCCTTGATCGGTCCATAATTTATCATTTGTTGGTTGTTGTGAAGTTTCTAATTTTAATTGTTCTAATTGTTGTTGTTGTTGATCTGAACTATCACTCATTGTTAAATAATTTGAATACACAAAAGGAATAAAGAAAATGACGATTATATGTTGTCGATCTAAAAAAAACAATGAACGTCAATAAGCGATGTTTTTTCTTCTTTTGACAAATGAAAATATATCAATGAATTTATAGCAACGCCATATTCTCTATGATGATTAGGAAATTTTGTTTTTAATGCATTTATGCATTTTGATATGGATTATGTTAAAAATATTAATTAATGAAATTTTTGATAAAGCTTTTAATCATAGGAATTTTTAGCAATTAGAAATAATGAATCAATGAAAGAATTTAAAAGTAGATTGTAGCGATCGATTGATTGTGACTAAAAATAGATAATTATCCAGGGCTACTGCAACATCCCAATAACCGGACAAAATTGTTTCGTGTGTTTTTTTAGGAAAATGATAGAACAATTATTTGTTCTATTATTAGTAGGATTTGCTTATCCAATTCGTGCTATAAGCAAAGGTAATATTTTTAAGTTGATTAATTATTTAAGTAATAAAATATTTATGATTTAGATGATCTACTTGTCGTTTCGGTTGCTACGGATGAAACAGATGGCTATCAGCGTTTTATTCGTTCATTAAATATTTATGGATATAAATATGAGGTATGAAGAAGAGAAGTTCAATAAAACTTTATAGTATGTAACGAGATGTCGCCAGTAAATTATATGGATTAGTTTGAATAGGAACTAAAATGCAGATTTCGAAACAGATGTGCGATCGTTGGCGATTATTTTTTGTGTTATTATGATACCTTAGATGGCTGTAGGTTCAGAATTTGAAGAAGAAGCTTACCTTGCTGATATATCAAGGAGAGAATATTCCACGAAACTGAAAGAATTCTTGAATAAAGGTCGACAAGTTCAGAGGATGTGAGTGTAAGAAATTCGTTTAATAAGTCCGCTAAAAGAATAATGTTTTCGTAATAGATCCAGTATAATATAGTTACTGGGTATTATGAGACAGAATTTTCCGTAAGGATATTTTTTTATGATCTAGTTATCACCAGCAAGTGGTCACTCACAAAACTCGAGTGAACTAAATAAAGATTCGAATCTTAAATATATGAACTGAGAAGCCATTCGGTGAAAAATTTATGTTCAGTAGTTTGCATGACCATTCCTGTGGTCCAATAATGTTGTAAGAATAAATCCACTAGAAAAAATGAATCAAACGATAAATTGATTTCTAGTTAGATATATTTAGATAATCTTATAAAAGACATCATACTTTTATAATATAGGAAATAGAAAAAAGTATCTCGAAACTTTAATTCTTATAAAAGACGCTTTCCGACATGGAACACTCTTGTTCTGTTACTGAAATGCCGCTTCCAAAACAGAACAATATTTTTCGGACAGCTCAGTTCCAGGAATTGAACTGGGAGCTAGTTAAATTCTATTTTCAAAGAACAACGAGAAAGTTTAGGTGATAATATTGCTTACGAGAAAATCAGAATACTCTCAGTAGGGTAGATTAGGATAATGAGAATCTTCTTCAGACAGAGTTCAGAGCAGTGTTTTATTCAATGTGATGACCGACACCTTTCTGGATGAGAAAAATCTGGGCAAAACAGTGAAGTGTGCGAAGAAAAAGCTTTTTCAGCATAACTGTATTTGATCTTAATAAAAACATTTCACTTTTTATTTATATTTATTTAGATCTATGGACTTGGTCAACCATGGAAAGGTGGTAATATAAAATATACATCTGGTGGTGGACAAAAAATAAATATTCTTCGAGAAAATTTAGTTCGTTATAAAGATGATAAAACAAAATTAATACTTTTTTCTGATGCATATGATGTTATATTTACTCAATCGCCTGAATTTTTACTTGATAAATTTGAAAGATTAAAACCAGCACGGGTTGTTTTTGGTGCAGAAGATTTTTGTTGGCCAGATCAAAGCTTACAAGTAAAATTGAATTTTTGTTTTGTTTTAAATATTTGCAAGAATTTTTTTGATGACTTTAGTATGATTATCCATTGGTTGAAAGTAATGAAAAACGTTTTTTAAATTCAGGTGGTTTTATTGGTTATGCATCGGATATTTATGAAATAATATCAAGTAAAGAAATAATTGATGATGATGAAGATGATCAATTATTTTATACCAAAATTTTTCTTGATGAAACTTCACGAGTAAAATACAAATAATTGAATATATAATCAAATTTTTAATTTTTATTTAGACAAAATGGTCAATTGTACTTGATAAACGAGCAGATATTTTTATGAATTTAAATGGTGCTGCTGATGAAATTGAATTACCAGTTCTTAATGGTGAAGCTTATGTGCATAATTCATGGACAGATTCAAATCCGATTGTTATTCATGGCAATGGACCAGCTAAAGTAGAATATGATTTCTTCATGTTTCCTTGTTTTTTCTATATATTTATATTTTCTTTTTATAGAGAACTTTGAATTATTTAAGTAACTATATTGCTCGTGTATTGTCATCGACTTCTGGATGTTTACAATGTAAAGAAAATGTTATAGATTTAACTAAAATTGAAGATGTATGTGTTCTTCATTATTTTCATGAAATTAAAATTTTTTTTTGTTTATTAAGAAGCAACAATGGCCATTAGTCTATATTGCGATATTTATTGAATATCCAACATCATTTCTTCGAGAATATTTTGAAAAGATTTTGAATCTTACGTATCCAAAGAACCGTTTGGCTATTTTTATTCATAATCAAGTAAGAAAATTAGAAATAGAAGACGACTTTTTTTATATTAGGAAGTATAGGATAAGCTTTTATTGTACTGTGTATTCAGATTTTTCTCTTTCGGAGAGGTGAATTAACACTCTGAGAGGGCAAACAGTTATTGTTGGGAGCAAAGGAATGGTACTCAACCACAAATGCGATGCTGAATAAAGCGCTGTGTGTATTCAACCTAAGAAAAATTTTTGTACATTTTGTAGAAAATATTCATTTTGAGTTTCTTGATTCTGCCAGAGTCTCACTTTTATTTGTGTATATGTTGTTATTGTCACTCTCATCCAAGAGATTTCTTTTATTCGACTCTTAAGTGCATAGTAAAAAAAAAACACTACATATGTTTGCAGAAGCATTGAATAACGATCTGAAATTTTTTTTTTTTTCTTTAATTTAATCGTTGAAGGAAACACCCAAATTATTCATACGATAAACTCATTAAAATATATCTATTTTTTTCTAAGCATCATTGTTTTTCTTTTCTTACAGGTTGAATATCATAACAATTTAACAGAGAAATATATGACCAAATTCAAAGAAAATGAATATAAATTTGTGAAATATTTTAATTATGATGATGATATAACTGAAGGTGAAGCTCGGCAACAAGCTATGTAAGCTTTAAATTCTTGTTTTGTTTTTTGCTTTTCAATAACATAAAATTTCGAATATATTCTTTTAGTACTGAATGTCAAGAAGATAAATGTGATTATTTATTTGTAATTGATTCAATAGTTCATATTGATAATCCTGCTACATTAATGAAATTAATCTCACTTAATCGAACAATTATTGCACCAATGCTTTTAAGACCAGAAAAAACTTGGAGTAATTTTTGGGGAGATTATACAGAAGATGGATTTTATAAACGATCATCGGACTATATGGATATTATTAATTATGATAAAATGTATGTTATTAATTTTTAAAAATAATTTAATCTGTGTTTTTTTCTTGTTTTTTATTCAGAGGTTTATTTAATGTTCCACATGTTGCTCATTGTTATTTAATAAATGGAACGTTTTTAAAAAGTTTTACACCAGAATATATTGATACAACTATCGATCCAGATTTGAAATTTAGTCGATCATTGAGAGATGCTGTAAGTAGAATATATAGCGAGAAATATTCATTCATTTTTCGATCATTTCAACATAACTGACTAGAGCTAGATCCAGTTAATTAACATCAGGCTCTTTCCAAATATGTGTTTAGCATTTCTCTCAGAAGTAAGACTGTTGAAAAAGGTCGTCAAAAATAGTGCTTGCACAGAATATTATTTTGGATCGATTTTATGTTTCGATTGAAATCTATCGAATTCAGAATGTGAAACAGTTTTATTTTCTTTACAAAGTGTGATATTTACTTCTGTATAACAAATTGTAATAGTTTTGTATTTTTAAAAGCAGTTTTTAAGACAACGAATACTAATTTTCATAGAAACTAGCTCTTTAGTGAATACAGATAAGTTTTGAGAGATGTGTAGAGTTCATCAAGTTCGAAATTTTGGCATCCGGTTAATAGAATATATTCAGAGGCGGACTCGATAGGTTCCAGTGTTTCGAGATACAAGATAAAGACTACGCCAAAATCGCTTTTACACTTTGTACCTATATAGTTTTGAACTTTTTTATACAAATCGTGAAGGAAAACCCGAACATATGATGATGAACAAAAATTTAGAGTATTTGTATTTCTGAGTTTTCTAATTGATGATCGTTGCTAGGAAAAATCTGAAAAAAAAACACATACCAGCAGCTGAAAGGATCGTCTATCAGGATTCATGGACTTAAAAACTCCAATAAAACTGTTCGGATGAGAATAACATGTTTGTTGTTAATCAACGTTCTGTAAATTGAATGCAGTTGAATGAAGGAAGTTCATGGAGAAAGATGAGACATCTTATTTAGCGTAAAAATTTTGATTCTTGCTCTCATCAGTGTTCGTTTAGTCGCTGAAAAATGAATGAATATTTTATACCACGACTTTTGTGCAATAGAATATTTATATTGATTATTTATTTGTTTATTAAAAAACCTAGGAATATTTTATTTATTTAAATAATGAAATTAATTATGGACATTTAATTGATCCAGATAATTTTAATACTTCACTAATTCTACCTGAACTTTATGAACTATTTAATAATTTTAAAGTAAGTTTATATATACATCTATTATAAATAAAATTCTTATTAAATTTTTATTTTTATTTTTTAAGGATTGGAAAGATCGTTATATTCATCCTGATTATTATA